CATTTCCAAAATTTTCCTAATATGTTGGCCTCGTTCGTTTAAAAATTAAAACCCAATAAAAGTCTTTCTAGCGCTCTGTATAATCGTGCATTATTGGTATTTGAAAGTACTAACCAAATCATTTTTGGCGCAAATCTATCTCTTCCCCTTGTTTATAAATAAAATTCGTATAATGAGGAAACAGAAAACAAACACACAGTAATCTATCTTCGATAATGCGGTTTTTGTTTTTGTGTTTTTACGCAGCCAGCCAAACAGTGCTTGACGTCACTAAGTAGCGCCAGTTGATCAATTGATTTTTCTCACAACGCCCACAAAAAAAAAAAAAAAAAAAAACAGAAAACAACGCCCGTCTGCTAATTGTTATTGCGAATTTGTTTTTCTACGAGTCTGAAAAAGACGAAAAAACGTGTGATATTGAGCAGACACTAAAAAAAAATGGGGGGAGGGGAAACAAAAACAACAAAAAACAGAATGTAGGTGGCCCCGTCACTCGAATGCAATTTCAAATTTCAGAATTTCCACTGAAACTGTTCCACATAAGCAAGCGACTATGCCAACCGATTCCGAGGTCTGTTCTGAGTTCTGGTGCCCGGCACATTGCGGAACGAGTTCACTGTGTTGAACAAATTTAGTGATTACTGCTCAACAACAACAATACACTTGCAATAATAAGAGACGGCGTTACACAGTGGAAGAAAATTTGTAACTTAGCAGCAATACTTTAACACATAAACCATAAAATCATTTATAGAGGACATAGTTTTCTTTTCTGAATGACCTACTTTTTTGGGAGTGTCTGGAATGGATTTCAAGCCCATCTACATATTTTATTTTTTAAACCTTGATTTAAATTCTTTTTTGAATATTGTTGTGAACTAATTTACTGAAAAACCTACTTTTTCGGGAGTTCTGGAATGGATTGTAAGCCTATCTATATATTTTATTTTTTAAACCTTGATTTAAATTCTTAATTTAAATTGTAATTTACTTTCATGGGATTGTCAGGAATGGATTCCGTGCCCATATACATCGTACATGTGCCTTCCAGTATCTTTCTTAAACGTTGATTTTATATATTTATTTATTTGTGTTTAAGTAATGATGTGCTGGATATTTTCAAGTGCAACCAATGATATATTTTACTCAAGTGGCATTATAAATTTTGGAGATAAACTTTAGAATCTGTTCATATCATAAATGTGTTTTTAAAGTATATAAAAATTCGTGAACAGAAAAGTTATAAGCGGAAAAATGCATTATATATTCGAGATATTTTATTTAAGCTAGTCCGACGGCCATTAAGATAAGTAGTGTTCTGAGAGTGCATCCCGCTGTGGTTTACGTAGGCATTATCTTTGGAAAGGCGTCATTCATAACGCTTCGAGTTCAAAGCGTTCTCTTATCAAAAAATACATTTAAAACCCCACTGAAAAGGCAACAATAACAACGATCTACGTCGCAAAAAAATATATATAATGTGGGGCCGCTCATATGATTTGAATACAAAACCATAGCTATAGCGCTTTTATTTTCATTCATGAGCCAAAATTTACGATACACAGAATTGTGGCTTCTGTACTGTTTTGAGTGAAAGAGTAGCCCGCCCATTGACCTCCACTGGTACCGACATCGTCGCTATCGGACTGAATTCCCCAGGAAATTGTTGACAACTCTCCGGGCAGTGCAGTATTTGTTTTTTTTTTTTTTATTAATTATACACACACATTTATATAAGAGTTTGTCTGGCGCTTACATACATTTACGGCAGCTGTTTTTCAGTTTCAGGCGGCATCGACTTTCCTCATACACGAGTATGAAAATATTATATATCAAAAATTAAATATGCATGTAGTGTGTTATGTTTTTGTTTTGAAATTCTACCCCATTTGTTTGCTTTGGGGAATTCGCGCATATGCCAATGTTTTTTTAGGCAGGAAATATTTTTGAATTTGTCTGATGCGTCATCCCTATAGTAGCTTTTCGTGGAAAACGAAGAGAAATACTTTTTCACTTTTTGTTGATGAGTTTTGAATAATTTGATTTTTGCAAATGACCCAAGATCGAAGAGAACGTTGAAGGGAAGTTGAAGAAGATTTAAATCTATGGAAAACTCTTCTTTGCAATTTATTAACTTTAAATATATAGCTTAGAGTTTTTATTTACAATAATAATATAGCTAAGAGTAAACAAAAATAAATGCCTTACCTTAAAAAGCACTTAATCGATAGACAATAATTAAAGAATATAGAAAGATAGGTTTAAATATTTTCATAAGTTCTGTATAAACTTATTAATCACTAAAGTATTGTTGAAATTTCTCTGGTTATACGGTTTTTAGCTGCACTCTTATAATTCTTTCACACTAGACTAAAGCAAATAATTTGTTTAGAAGAAGAAGATGAAAGGAAATTAAGAGATATATGTCTACAAAAGTATTACTCTCTCTTAAAAAAAAAGATTAATAAAAATCCCAGCTGTAACAAACGCTGATATATTGTGGAGCACTTAAAAATAAGTGTACAAATTGTAAAAAAAAAATACACTTCAAGTGGCTTGTAAGAGAAATTGATATTAGTCGTTTAATATCCTGCAATCTGCTTTAATGTTTTACAACATCAGTGTGGCTTTGGTACACTTTCACATTTCATTTCGTAAAGTAATTCTACAATAATGAACGAATATATGTTCCAAAATTTACATAAGCCTCCAACAATAGTGGTAACAATCCCTTCTGAAGCGATATGGGATTCTAAAAATATAATTCAACACTTCCAAAGACTCTCTTATACATAAAGTATTTGGATATAATTCGCGCTGAGTAAATTCTATTCATATGCCAATTCTCAGTCAAGACTCCAACATCAACAAATAGCTTGAAAAGAATGCACAAAAGAAATTTCAAAACTTTCCTTTCGCTATTTATAATAAAATGACCAAACAATGCCTTTAAGACTCACACCCAAAACGATGGTGCATGCAAAAATGATGTAAATTTCTCGCGGTTCCATAAAAATCGAAACCGTTGCTGCCATTATTCCACTATTTACTGGCAGAGCGAGCCAAAGCAGGCGAGTCCGATCAGAAGGAAAACATGCCAAATAGCTGACAATTTGTTTACTGTGACGAGGCGCTAATGGCCAACACGTTCCGCACAGAACAACAACAATAACTCAACACCATTGGTACAAACTTACAACAATTTCAATCTAATTAAAATCACCTTGAATGTCAGGGGGTTATGGGTCACAGAGTGGGCGGGATTTGCATTGCTTTGTTGTTCTTCGGGCTCTCGTTAATGAAACGTAATTATCTCATTGCAGTGCAAATGTTGTTCATGCCGCCGCCCCATTTGGGCGATAATGTAGATAAACAAGCTCTTCGGGCCGGTCTGGCCGACTCTATATACCCGGTATATACATAAGTATACATGATAGTGTAAATACGGGTACATACGTGGATATAGAACGCCAGTTGGAGAACAAGAGAATAAAAGAGCGTCGCATTTACGTCAATTTCCACAAATGGTTAAGAACTGTGACGCTAATCAAGTGTGGCTATATGGGATATCTAAGGGGGATGTAGAAGTGGGGTATAGAAGCGTTTCCAAGCAGCTACTAATGAGCTATTTCTAACAAAAGAATCAAGTGTAAATATGTCAAGTTAGCTTCTAATTAGCTAGAGCTGTGGAGGAGCCGAATAGAGCTTTCCTTTTATAGAACAGTTATTATATCTTGATGTAAATAAGCAAGAATAAAGCAATAGCGATGAATTATGTATGCGCTAGAAAGCTTAACCAAAAAAGGAAAGAACAAGAATGGTACTGCATGAGATCATTTTGAAAGTTTTATTCGGTTTGGCTAAAATAAATTTTTATTGAAATCTGTCAAATAGTTCTTTGAACCCCAATTTTTATAAAATGTTTGTTTCTTTTTAAATTAACTACTGTCCTTACCTCAATTAATGTTTGCAAGCAATATATCGTTATTTGAAAATCTGACGACCGATAATACTATAGATGTGAACCAGCGAGGTTTTAAAGATAAGAAAACAATGGATCAATAAATGTTATGATTTGCAATTCTTTATATGTTTTTATAGCCAGTTAAAAAAAGTCGTATTGTAAAAAAAAAAAAAAACTGGTACTGAGGCTAGCAATTAGAACCACAACACCTGCTAACTAAAATTCCATTTACGTTTCTATAACAAGGTCTGTTACTGTTTTTACGCACAAATATTTGCCGCCTATTTATTATAAATGTCTTCATGAATAGATTATACACGTCCGTCTGTATGAACATCGATATCTTTTAAAGCATAACAGCTAGGGACATTTAACTTGACATAAAGATTTGTCGTCTCCTTCCTAACACTAAGTTTAATACCATCCATATAAGGTCGATACTTAATATAGCTGGCATTATTTATTTATTTATACTACATTTTAGTCATTATCTGTTCTGTTTAATAGAGCACCGGAAAGTTGATTTAAGTTCCTCTGTCCTTTTCATCAATTCAGTTTCTACGTAATTTTTCCCATTTCTACAAACAGTTCATAGCATCATTCGTTTCCATTTGTTTTTATATAGCAACCCATCCAGTTAACTACACAAAAACATTTACGTATCAAATTTATGCCAAAGCTTTAGAAGTTTTTTGGAAAATTTTAGTTAAAACGAGACAAAAAGTTGTCGTATTTTAGCAAACGAAGGTAAGAGAAGGAATTGAAAGTGCGCAAGCAGGCCAGTTTTTGAAAGTAGACAAACACACACATTCCTAGAACTACACAGTTCTCTTATCGCTCGTTTGCAAATGATTTGCGCTTATCAGAGAAGTGTCGGCAGCTGTCTGCGATATATGTCGTACAAATATAGAGACAATCAGGCAGACAGACAAACGAACGTCCGCACTATTCGACAACATTTGAAAAGCATTACCTTATTGTTTGTTTGGAACCCCACCCGACGTTAATGTTACTTTGTTTCCTATCTTCTTTGCAGACAGCATGACCATACCATCTAGACCAGCGCCGGCGCCACCGGGCTCCTTAACTCAGAGTTCCAACGGCTCGGTGGAGCAGTTACGCTTGCGACTACAACAACAACATATGCAACAACAACAGGCCGGTGGTGGTCTGCAGAAGCTAACCATTAAGTTGCCGCCACCTCCGAAGGCTCCACTGCAGAATGGCATGCACAGCAACAACAACAATAACAACAGCAGCAACAATAACAATCATGGCTTTTATGATTTGGAGGGCACAAATGGCTCCAGATCCATAACCCGTAAATTTCCACAGGCACGTTACACGCCAGCCACAAATTGGAATGGTGCGCCATTTGGCAGCGCCTTTGGCGATGGCGGGAGCAGTGCCGCCACCTCAAACGGCAACTTCAAGAAGGTGCCACCACCGCGACCGCCCCCGCCAAAGGTGCAGTCGACAACTAATGGACGCAAGGCGTCAGCACCAAATGCCGGCTCCGGCAGCAGTCTGATAACGAGCATATTCCATCGCAAAAAGTCAACAACTTCGACGTCCATGGTCGCTGCTTCGAAGGCCGCAGCACAGAATCGTGTCTACGGCCTGAGCAGCGGACATGCGACGACGTCCAACGCATCCAGCACTGTGGCAAGCACTACAATAACAAACAGCAACTATGATTGGAATGCGGCCTGGAACAGTGCACCCACAATCACAGCCACAGCTGCGACCACCACAGCAGCCTCAACGACAGCGTCTAGCGGCTGCGCGACCGAAGCTCAGCTTATAAGTTTCGATTCGCCACCCTCGTCGCCCACCTTCACACAGAAATCGAACAGCGACTGTGTGAGCGTCGATAGCTTCAGTTCCGACTCAAACTTCAGCTCACCCAATAATGGCAGCGTGTCCCAACCGGAAAGCGGTTTCGAGGACGATTATCATGCGCGTTCACGACCAGCGACCACCAGTCCGCTGGACCCTTGGGAAGTTGTTGACAACACAGCCTATGCCTTCGATGGCATCTATGCTAACACACAGCAGATGCAGAGCATTGGAACGGCCCCAGTCCGCCAACTGCAGCAGCCAAGTCGAAGCGTGGATAATCCCCTTTGTAATGGAAAGAGTTTGTTGCCGCCACCGCCCTCGCTGACCATGCCCACCATCATTAAGCCCAAGATATCGGCCAAACCAAAGGCGCCCAAACCGCCACCGTTCTTAAGTCAGCCGCCAGGATATGTTCTACCATATGGTGGTGATTCAGGTATTGATTCATCAACGCCTCCATCACCACCCATGCCCAAGGAAGCGCCACCACCGCTGCCCAGTGCGGTAACAAGCAGCGCCAATTCTGGAATATCTTTGCTCGATGTCATTATGGGCAAGGTGGATGCCCTTGCCTTGAGTAATGGCAGTTCCGGTTATGTCGACGAACCAGAGGTGCCTTATGCCATAGCACTCTACGATTTCGATGGCGTCGAGGAGGGCGATCTTAACTTTAGAGTGAGTACAACACATATATTGATGGTTTAGGTGGATTATATAGTATGGCTGATTTAAATGAACTGCCGAATTTATGCAATGAATTGCTTAATTTTCTCCGATTCATTTAAATGTTTCAATTTAATATTTTTATTGAACGAATCTATTTTCAATTGAGAAAAAAGAAACAACGTTTAGTTAAGATCAAAAAGTGAAAGAATGTTTAATTGTTTAATTTAACAAATGAATTCGAACAACTATACTGATTTATTTAAGAAAACTTTCAAATGTTCAATTCAAATGATGAATTTCTTCGTCCACAAATGCAATTTTTTAACAACTTCTGTTATGATTATTTCGGCGAGCCAAGTGCTTAGTCTGGGATTCCCGCTTGAAAGACTGGCTTTCTGCTGATAGACTCGTGGAGTATTTAAGTTTTATACCAAAGAGTTTCTTAGAAACTAAGAAACAAGTTTTCATTTATATATCACTACATTCTGCTATACTTTATGTGATTAGGTCCATATTTAAAATATTGTCATTTATCTAATTAGTTTTCTCTTATTCTCCAAACCTATGTATGTATGTTAAGCCAATTAAGAATAAATCCAAGGAATAAATAAGTTCAGCAGTTCTGTCGTCAAATTTGTGCCGTATAGACGGTGTTTGGGTAAAACAAGCCTTTTTAGTATTAAAACCATATTCAACGATTCCTATTTTTTGCATTTTACCTTTGAACACCTTTATTTTCTAAAGATGTAATCTGAAGCCACAAAAAGAAAGATATTTACACTTTTTTGAATCAAATTTAAATAATTTATAGCCTATTAGTATATAATCGTGCTCATCTAAACAATTTCAAGCTTTTTTTCATACCTAATACGTAGGAGCATCTGCGGTTCTAAGTTTCTAATAAGCTGTGTTTTATTTGCAGGAAAACGAAAAGATCTACCTGGTGGACCAACCCACTGCGGATTGGTTCCGCGGACGAACGCGTGCTGGTTGCGAGGGCATCTTTCCGGCTAATTATGTGGAGGTCAAGGTGCCATTGGGCGCATGTGGTGGTGCTGGTAGTTCACAAGTGGCGGAACAATTACCCATGGTGCGCTGTCTGTACAATTTTCCCGGCGAGGTGGAAGGTGACTTGGCCATACAGGTACGTTGTAGTTATGGAGGGAGAACATTAGAAATTTTGCAAAAGAAGTAGCAGAAAATATTGAAGATTTGATTTTGAAGTGCCTATTTTAATTTGGATTTCATTTTCTTTTCTAGGAAAACGAATTGGTCACCGTGCTGTATAGAATCAATGAAGACTGGCTTTTTGGCGAGATAGCGGGACGTCAGGGACAATTCCCGGCCAATTTTCTCGAATACGTGCCCGATAATCTGCCGACGGCTTAAAAAGCCAGCACACGAATATATCAAAAGAAAAAAAATAATAATAATTAATTTATAACTTATGAAAATTGTCGATATAAAACGCGAAAATGTCGTGCGAACTGAAATATATATTTACTTCGGTAGTCAGTCAAGAGTCAAAAACAATCCAAAACAAACAAAATACGAAGAAAACATTTCGATTTATCGCATAAATTCAATCCAATTATTTAAGTGCTTTTTAAATCAATCAAATTGCTAGCAACCGAACACCTTCCTTGTTCCGGCTTCCTAATTTTAATCCTATATGCTGACCAATCCACAAATGTTATGTTAGTCCCTATTAATTGTTAAGCATAGGCCGCTACGCATACTATATGTATTTCCATTTGCCTATATGTCTGTTTATACTCGTAGGCCTCTTTTTTTTTTTGTTTGCTGTTCAAGTATTCAAATAGATTTAACAAGCGCTGTAAATAATTTAAATTTTTGCAACAGTTTATTAACGTTGAGTGTAATTTAATTGCAATTTTGTTAATGTGTGTATTTTGTGTAATTAGTTTGTAGTTAGGCGCCTTTACCATTTCCAATTCAAGCAGAACATTAATTATTCTTATTTACATATATATTTCTATAGCGTATTATTTAATCATGTATTACCAAGTGCTCGAGATAAAGCTGATATTGGCTCGTGGCAAACTATCGAAAACCGTAGCGATGTAAGAAACTTATAGGATTTACAAATTTATATTACAGATCATATACACAAACAGCTAAACTATATACAATATATCAATTAAATTTAATCGAAGTGAACCACTCAATATACAACACGCAAAATCAATTTACGTTAAACAAAATAAATGAATCATAGGAAAAAACCACAACCAAACGTGAACTCAATTATTTCAAAATGAGAAACTCCATTTATGTAGCATTCTTTTGGGCTGGTATTGCCAATGGTTTAAGGGTTCGGTAAATGCATTAAAAATGTCTCCTAAAAGTATGCTGCAGAAAGTCCATTCGGTTTGTGCCTCAACTAATCAACGCCTGCTGGCGTTCTTTTAAACACTTGCTATCATTGCTGTTCGCCTGCTACCCGGCAAGAGACCTCATCTGCGATTTTGTCCGAGAAGCACTGGCGTTCTTCAACGTTGACGTCATAATTCAAACACAGGCAATAAACACGACTACCTCCCATCCGATTTTAACGGAAACTGGCTTCTTGAAATTGGAATATGAAATTCTAATTATTATGTTATTATGTAGTTTGAAAATTTGTAACGTGACGATTGAACGATGAAAAAAGCTCCAATTTTGCCTTGATTATTACTTATTTTGGTTTTATTTATTTTATTTTAAGTATTTCTTGGCGAAATCATAATAATATAATTTATTATTAATGGCATATCAATCACGCAGCCAAACTATTTGTATAACTTAGAATTAGTTAAATGTAGAAAAACAATCTATATATGTATACAGGAATAGGATTACTGGGGAATATCATTTATATTCGCCAAAATGTTGCCATAGAAGTGATTTAAAACGAATTCGTGCATTTAGATACATTTGTTATAAGCTCCAAATAATCTAAATAGAAACTGTGAAGTATAGAGATTTGAATCAATTATCATACAGGTTCAAAGATAACTCAACTGCTTTTTCAAAAATATATCCTTTCTGCATCATTCATACTTAATTTAAAGTAAAAATTTGGCATCACATCCATCATTGAGAAAGGCATCGGAACAGAAATACTTTTCATTATTCAGGTTCAGTATCTTTCGGATGTGTTACCTATTCTACATCTATTCTGTGCTCTGAGCAAAAACAAAATTATTTCCCCCGACAACTGTTCAACTTTTGTGTATGTGTTTTATTTAGAGCAAGAATCTTTCAGCTAGCATCCAGTAAGTATCAAACAAATCCAACTTATAATTGCAGCTAAACCCCAAGCCTAATTGGAATTGTAGACCGCTTATACAAAGCGAACGTAATTCGATAATGTCTGGCGATTGCAATAGTTATTGCCCGGGAAATGCCGATCCCTGTCAGGCGCCCGTCGATTTTTCACCCTGCCCTCCCGGCGGCGACTGCCCACCCTGTACTGGAGGCGACTATGCCGGCTGTTGTTATCAGCAGCCTCCACGCACTCAGCCCATCCGTCCGACTTCCCATTTCATGCGCTCCACAGCCCCCCTGGAGACTGAAACCATCTATAAGCGTTCCTACTACGCCAACTGTGGCGATTGCTATCGCGCCCGTCCAGTCCTACCCAGCTCCCAGATACGCAGCAGCCAGGCCCCCTTGGAGAAATGCACCGTCCAGAAGCTATCGTACATGCCGCCCTGCGTGTGCGGCCGCACGCCCCCTATCCGCCCTATGGAGAACGGCCTACGCTTCGAAGGACCCATCTATGCGATGTCTTCGCAGAAGCACGATTACGTGCCAAAGGGCGGTGTGAAGCGTGATCCTATCATGCCACGCGGCGCCATTTGCAGCTCATCGGCACCCATGGAGCGCTGCACCATTCAAAAGTTGAGCTACATGCCCGTGGATGTGTGCCAGAACCCTCCCCCCAAGCCCATGGTACAGGGCTCCCACTATTGTAAACCCGTCGGTCCGATGGAGCGGTGCACCGTCCAGAAACTGAGTTACATGCCGGTCTGCCTGCCAGCCAAGGAGCCCACACCCTGGGCGGACAAGGTACGCTGTGTGCCACCACGTTATCAGAAACTGTGCACCACCTACAACTTGAGTTACATGCCCAATTGCAATGCCGGACGCACTGCACCGGTGGTCCCAATTTCCAATTTGCGCTTCCTGGGCGGCAATGCCGGCGCTGCCAGCACAGTCTATAAAATGAGTTACATGCCCGTGGATGCCTCGAATTCCAAGCCTGCGGCCATTTTGCCACGCAACACTTTCTCTCGCGCCACCGGACCACTGGAGAAGTGCACCATACAGAAGGTGAGTGGTGGCATAACCTAAGCCGTGGTCAGAATAAATAAGCGTCCCTCCCCCTCAGCTATCGTATCAACCCAATTGTTGTGCCGAGCGCACTCCCCCCATCCGTCCCATGGAGAATGGCCTGCGATTTGATGGACCCATGTACGCCATGACAACCCAAAAGCACGATTTCGTGCCCAAACCACATGTGCGTCGTGCCCCCATTGTTCAGGGCACTGCCTTCTGCCGTCCCAGTGGCGCTATGGAGCGCTGCACCGTCAATAAATTGTCGTATATGCCAGTTGATGTTACTTGTTTCCCACGACCGGATCCCATTAGGCCGCGTCTGGGCTTCTGTCGCAACGAGGGTCCAATGGAGAACTGTACCACCTACAAATTGAGCTACATGCCCAACTGTTTGCCACCGAAGGAGCCACTTCCGTGGGCCCGCTACACCTCGTATTGTCGCCCAAGCGGACCCATCGAGAAGTGCACCATACAGAAGCTCAGTTACGGACCACCGGGCAGCTTCCAACGTTGCGGTGGTGAGTCAAAGATTATTATTTCGAAACTAATCCCAATGGGACCTTGAGACCTTTCTCTTAACAACAAACGGTTTTCTTTCAGTGTGTTTTAGTTTTCTACATTAAGTACATTTTAGGACTTTTTAAATATCATTTTTCTCGGGCTAGAAAGGCACACAAATTTGTTTAATCTCTTACATGTCTTTAAGTCAAGGTTATTTCTGTTCCTATAAATCTTTTTGTACTGAAGAGCTTGATGTTTGTTTGCAAATTGTTTGCCTTTTTGACCTTAACTAGTTCTTTGTATTTGTATTAGAGAACATTTTAAATGGCATACTCTTTAATTTTGGTGCTATTTTAACATTTTATTACTCCTATTTTTTTGCAGGTCCTTGCGGCACTGGCAATTGCGATCCATCTGGTTTCCCCAAGGCTGGCATTTGTTAGAGAGGAAATATCTTTGTCTTGCCCTTTGTACAGGTTCCCTTTTTCTAATGTGTTCCAGCTCTCATTATTACTGTTATTCAAAATCTGTGTATCCTTCTTGAAGGCATGTAGCGCTCCAAGTCCTTCTGCTACGACTGAACCAAAGTTTTAGCTTAGCTTACCGAGCACTATAGGCCTATTTGTCTCCTTTGTCCAATAATGTTGAAAATGTTTAATTATGTACATCGCACTGTTTAGGTCCCTAAAAACTACAAAAATTTAATGTTTTAAAGCGTTGGAAGATTGTCAGGTAATATATATCTATATATGTATGCATATATTTGTATCTGAAGATTTACCTTATAAAAATTATGAATAAAAGTGTAAAACATTAATGTTAAAGAGCTCGAACATTACGGTTTTTAATTTTGGTGGTCTTCAAACCATTTGTATTTGCAGTCGCCGTTTGCTGGCCTCACGTCGCTTCTTTTCACGTTTCTTGCGCGTCTGCGTTGCCTCACGGAACAGTTGTACGCCCTCACGCTCCTCCACATCACGCTGCAGCAGCGCCAGCGCATGCAGATTACAGCCCAGAACGTCGCGGAGTTGCTGAACATCGCGCTTGAGGAGCTCCAGTAATCGCAGGAGAAGCGGTTTCATCGTCTTGGCCGACGCTATGGGTTTCATGTGCACCTTGAACAGAAAGATGGTGACTTTGCAGAGCAGTTCCAGTTCGTCGGGTCGCTGTTCGATTAGACCGGGCAGGCGTTCCAACAGCTCGCAGACCGTTGCAAAGGGTAGGATGAGTAGCGCCTCCTCCAGATCTGCGGCCCTTATGCGTATTAGAGTGGTGACAAGAAAATCGCTTGGATTTTCCACCTGTAGTGCGCGCATCATGGGATGCAACTCTGGTTTATCGTCCTGGGCCTCGGTTTCATATTGCTTTGCTATTTGGAGGCATTCCAATATCGTTTCAGCCGCTTGCTCGGATCCCACAGTCTTGCGCGAGGCCAATTTTAGACCCGGAAGAAGTGGCACGTTATTGTCCTCGCCTGTGGCCAGCTGTTCGTTCTCAATTTGCTCGCGCTCCTCCTCCTGCACATCCTGAAGCACAATGGTCTCTTCAGTACGCTCGTACAGCCGCAAAGTGCGATCAGAGCCACAGCTGACTAAATAGCGACCATTGGGTGCAATGTCCAAGCAATAGGCCTCGCCAATATGGCCTGAAATAGATGCAAAAACAAAGTTAATAGAGTTTTGGATCTATAAAACAAAATTGCGACCATATTCCTAAAGTTTCTACAAGAACTGAATTTTTTTTAAATATAACTCATATCTGGGAAAAATCTAGTTCTTGAAACAGTGCAGAAAAATAATTCTGAATTGCGGATATGCTATCTTTTTGCTAGGCTTTATTGTTTACCTGGTAGCGTGATGATTTTCTCGAAATTATCTCCATCCCATTGCTTAACCTTGCCATCCTTGCCGCAGGTGAAGAACATGTGGGTTCTGGGTATAAACTTTAGCGACATTACCGAATCATCGTGCGCAAATAACGAGCGATGGCAATCACCAAAATTCAGGCCCCAAATCTTGACATTACGATCTGCCGAGCCAGTGACTATTAGTTGGGAATCGTATGATATATCCAAGCACAGGACGGGCAGTTTGTGGCCATAGAGCGACAAAAAGAATTTGAAAGTATCGAGGAAAAATATTTTCACGGTGGCATCGAGCAGACCCACAGCCAAGTATTTCATATCCGGACTAACGCCCACACAAAGGATCGTCTCCTCCAGTTTTAGTGTGTTTTTATGCAGTAACGACAGGACTTTGGTTTGTGTCGCACCCTCGCCGGCATCGATTAGCTCAAACGTCCAGATTTTTAAGGTCGTATCACCGCTTCCTGTCACACAGCCCTGCTTATCAGGCAGCAGCGCAATGGACCATAATTCACCCTCATGCGCTGGTATTTCCTCCACAATATCCGCAGCACCAACATCCACAATAACCAGCTTGCCGCTCTTCATGCCTAAAAGCACGTAACGATCGCCTGGAACAAATACGGAGCAAAGTACATAATCTGTGTACACTGTGCGCAAGCATTGCATGGCATCCCGATCCCAGAACTTGAAGGATTCGGCAGCACCAGAGCCAATGGCCAGCGAGTCGTGGCTGAAGCAAACGGAGCGCACCTCAGATTGGTGACCCAGACGAGTCAGCGAGCGCAGCAACTTGGCTGTGTTTTCTTGGGCCTTTTGGGACTTGATCGAAGCCTCCAGCGAATAAAGCACTAGACTATTATTGGCCAAACTGACGAGCATACGTAGCTCCTGATTCTCACCGAGCAGCACATCAATGGATTTGATTTTCTGTTTGACTTTAACGTTATCCAGGCGCTTAATTTCATCGCTCAGGCTCAGCTCATGAGACAAATCAGCAGCCTCTGGCTGTGCAGCCTTGCGTCCCTTTTTCAGACGCTTGGCCAGGCGCTGTTTTGCTTCCTCAGCGCTGCATATATAGAAACTCTCGATCAGATCATTGGTGCCATGACAGCTCAGAACGCGCTCATTAGGGTCTGTGACCAGATTAACAGTGCGGCCTTTTCCTGCACGTTGTATGACGCCACAATTGCTCACACTGATCGGACTTATGGTGTCCTCATCGTCAATTGACAAGCCCTCAACTGCAGTTTCCAAGCCTTCGGCGGCATTTGCGTCGCGTTTTCGCAACCTGTACACGTTCATGGCACTCTCGCCAGCGCCGGCTACCATAAGATCGCCAATTAGAGCCAATCCCCAGACCTCAGTGCGATTATCCACTACCGTTTTGAAGCAGAACTGCGTCTCTAGATTCCAGAACTTGATTTGTGTGTCCTTTGAGCAGCTTACTACAATGTTCTGCTCCACTAGCCTTTGCAAAAAGTGCGCGTCAGTAATAGCGGCATTGTGGCCGGTCAAGCGTTGCTGACCCGCCATCTCCACGACATCCACAACAACCAATTCAGTGTCCAGACCACCGCTCACCAGACGCATTCCCTGATTATCATAACGCAGTACGCTCACCGCGTTCTTGTGCAGCGCCAATGTACAAATCGCATCGTAATAGGTGCTGGAGCTCAGATCATAGATTTGAACCACACCATCCGAATAGCCAACGGCAATGTGCAGATGATCGGGAGAAGCACGTAAAGCGGTGACTTCCTGCTTCTCGCGTCGCAATGTCTTTATACGATCGCCCAGCCTATCAAAATATACAAACATATACAAATACGGCGTTTAATAAAGAATACATCTACTGGTTATGCATCTTACCGTAAGTCCCAAATAATGACATTTTCTGCTGCCGGCGCCGCAATGTAACGACCCTCGGTACCATCGATGACGGCAAAATTAACATTGGCACGACCAGATACAATTATATTGAAGCTGTCTATAGCACGATATGCTAAATATTGCTTAGTTAAACCCATAATTTCATATAAAATTCCACTATAAACAGCTGCTCAACAAGTTTCACGTGTTTGCCATGCTTTAGAGATGTGCAAAGCGTGTCGATAACAACCGATAGTCGCGCCGCCTGTTTGTTTACAATTTGCAACAACGGTCTGGCAATATTCATAACTGAGTGACCGCTTTCCAATGGAATATGAAACAAGGAATATATATATTTAAGATTTAACGGTTTAGAGTGTATCGGTTGATGTAAAAACGAATTAACGATGGAGCTGTAAGCTATTGAAGGAGAACTACGATGGCTTGTAAAATTTAATAAGCTGGTTTGTCTTGACTTAGTTTACAGCCAAATTTGTATAACCTGAGATAGACATTTGAAATGAAAACCAATTTATTAGTTCGGTTTCACACTTGGTTTGAATTCTTTACGAAATTTAAATAAAGGGACTTGGAATTTGTTTTATAACCAAAAATGTTGTATTGCAAAATGTTATCAATGGGCTACAAATTTTTATGGTAGTATTGTTAGGGAGCAACATAATCTGAGAATAAATGAAATTTCGAATCGGTTATTTTATTTGTTAATATAGGAAAAAGGATAAACGGTTAAAAAATAAAAAGTTCCGATTACGCTTCTTTCGATAAGATTTCAATATATGTTTTCATCCCTTACATCTGAATAGCCGGCGCCTGCGTATTGTGGACATAGTTTATACACATTTTACAATTTAACGTTTCATCTTTCTGTAGCTGCAAAAATTATATTTAAAAGTAAATAGTCAAATAAAATAATGCCAGGCTTTGCGGGCGGTTCAACAAATGCCGATGCCAGTGGTAAATGAATTTTAAAAATGGTTTCTACAATAAGTTAAGTCAATCAAATCAAATCTTTGACAGGTGCCTCGGACTTAGACACGGAATCCGTGGAGGTCCTAAGGGAACGTTTGAGTACCATGAAACGACTGATGGCTGAGCGCACAGCCCAACAACAGAATAATCCTGCAACGACTGAGGAAATCTGGTCCACCAAACGACATCGATCGGCTGGCATTATTGATGGCAACTTCCTAAGCATCGCCTTTGGGGGTGCTTTGCTAGTTATAGTCTCGGTTTCGATATATGCTTTCTATAACTTATACCATGCCATACTAAAGAAGTTTCCCTCGCGCCATGAGGAGTTGTAAGCCAAGCCTAATAAGCCAACGACGAATTACAATTTAGTATTTAGCATCGATTTTGTGCATTTAGTGTTATAGTTTGTACGAATTGTAAATTTTAACCAACCATGGGCTCAAATATATGAACAAAAGAAAGACGGCCGTTTTGTTTGCTGTTTTGCATTCGGTTAAATTAACTATTTATTGGATTTCGTTCTCAATATGCTTTCCATTACAATAATTAATTGTGTGTATAGCCGCTAGAAACTTGTTTCTGTGTTGTATTTGTAAATTCAAAAACAATAACTAAATACGAACAGCGAAGACAAGAAGAACCAAATGGGCGGTTGGCATAAAAACTATGAAAATGATAAGTATATAAAATAACAATTAGGCACGAGACGAATCATCAGTCAAGGAACTTAATGGGCGAGGGATTAAAATATAGAGAGAGATGCAACGAAAATGAGAAGAATTAGGGTTTGGATTTCGCTTACGTGCTAGCTTTGCATCGATAATTCAATTGAAACTTTCGACTTACATTTGGTTCGCTTACATGTTAAAGTTTGTGTTAAACATCTATATACGATTTATAAATGTTTGGCTTTCGTTTTGTTTTCCTTTCTTTTGCAGAAGCTTGTCTTTATAAAAATAACTAATATCGTTTTGTTTCGTTTGTTTTTTTTAGCTTTTTTTTAATTCAAATAATAATTTTAATTTTTTCTCTTAATTTTTTTTTGCATTATTTTGTATAACAGTTCTACTATTGGTTTACATTTGTTACTTATTTCATTTATGCGGCTAAATTGAACATTTAAATTTTGAGTGGTTAAGTTTAAATCAGGAAAGTAATATATATAGTTTTGATTTCTAAATTGTTGTAGTTGTTGCTGTGTCGCACCGCCGCTTTTATATATTTATATGTGTTGGTGTTTATGAGGGCTACGGGGGAGAGTTGTATGTACGTCTTAGTTGTGGTCGCTTTTTACAATTTATTTAATTCCCTACTCTCTTGAACTGACTCGGCTGCTGCTGATGTTATTGTTGTTGTTGCCATGATTGCAACTGAAAATCCTGCCGTCGCTGCCGTCACCGCCGCTGCTGGCTTATTTCTTGTTAATCAGATATTATCGACAGAATCAGCATCATCCTCTGAACTAATCTCATCGCCGAACTCAATGTCCTCATCGAAGCCGTCCTCGACGAATGTGACTGTCTCGTTGATGCGCACCGATTCTGGAAATTCGCCGTATGTCTTCAAATTTCGGGCCTCATCTGGTGTATACTTCAAAATGACATCAGCTTTGGAGTCCTGGTAGTCGCGTAAGCCGACCAATATGATATCACCCTGATTTATCCATACCTGGAGAGAAAAGAAGAAGGATTAAAATTCTATTAGCAATCTTTTTCCAAACTTGTTCGTTCACTGATTAACCTAAGATAGTATCTTAAGTCTAAAGATAGTCTCTCCCGCATTATCTCCTATTGGAAAGTTAGATTTGTGTAAGCAAATGTTGGATAAATTCATAACTAGAAGGATACTTTGATAAAGGCACATAAAGAAGAACATACATGAAAACAAGATAAGATTGAAAGTAAAAGTGGGTTTTTAGAAAATATTAGTTAAAAATCGTTAAAATATGTGTTTTTGTAAAAAACAAATTAAAAGGATCCCAAATATTCATTAGATACCTCTCCCACTAATTCTTATTAACAAGAGAACAGCTAAGACTCTTTTGGGATGATAGTAATGGAAATGAACTATAAAAAGTACTTTAAACTGAATTTCACACTCGTGGCTATAGAAAATGTGCTTTCATTTACAATAAACTCATTAAAATCTTCAGCTTAGTAATAATAAAAATCTTGACGTTCATACAGATGGTCATACTGTTCCTTTTTATTATTTATGCTTAGTTGTAGGACCAACGTTTTTTGAATTATGAACCCGTTTAACGTGCGTCTGTACGTTTAATCTTCATGAAACCCATACTATTTCGTCTGGGAAAGTCTTTTGAAAATTTAGAAACGTCGTACCAATTTTCGTTATAGGGAAGCTATACTACAAATGTATAATTCCCAAACCATTTTTATGACTCAGTTGGGCGAAAAAAGACAAGCAAATAATTGCGGCGTCTAGTCTTGTGTTCTATGTAATAGATAACAGATAAGTGATCTCTAAATAAATTGGCGCAACTTGGCCCCGTTCTGGGAATTTCACCAGCGCACGCAAAATTTTCACATGAGCAAGGCCCAAAACAAAAAGTCATAAGACATTGAGTTAATTAATAATTAAAAATCTTGATTATGTTCAATATTTGTTTCTTTGATTACCCTCTTACGCAGGAAAGTTTAGAGACCAGGGAGGAATCTTGCAGTTTTTCCACTTGTAGATCTTTAGATCATCTATTGGCACTCAAGAAATAAAACCTCTTTCACTCTTACGGGTTATAATGTTGGTGTCACAACATTTTATTACTTTATCAGCTATAGAAATATATTTGAGGCTACTCAACCAAATGGCCCATTAACCGATAACCATTAGCTGCAATGATTTCTAAGAATTACTACGCCGCAACTTTCTTTACTAGCCATACAGCCCTATCTACCATATAGATATGATTTAATTGTTAGAAGCGACACGTCCAATCAAGCACACGACTGTTTTGGTAAATTCCTTAATCAGCTGCTATACAACACATGACAGAATGGAACAAGAGCTAAACTTGTGATTCCTACCACGATTCTGACGTAAACGGAAGAGTTAACGCTTATCGCTCAAAACAAAACGAAACCGAGTGCCTGGGAAATATATTTACATACCGTTCAAATCAAACCTCCACTTGATAATGTGCACTAGACTTAGTTCCTAATATTACTCAAGTAGTGCCAATAACCTGGGCCAACTCAAACGTAAAATGTGATTCAATGCGTATTCCCATATTTATGAATGAATACTACTTCCTTCTGGTAATAAAAAATAAATAGTAAAATGACGACAGCGTGGTAAGCCCCAGCACCACAAATGCCTATTTAATTCAACTTTGCCAGTTCATGTGACACATCTATGGTTATAAATATATTAATAACAAGAATGGAATGCCAGAACCATGCCAGAGAATGCCGACTCTTACATACTCTGTAACCTCTTTTACAACGAATTTTTTTGAAGTGCACAATTAAATAGGGAAAGCACGAAATTGAAAAACATAACATTAAACTATTGTTTAATTGAATTGCTAGGTAAAACCTACCAGACTTCTTAAAAATTGATCAACGAATTAATTAAGAAACAATAGCACCTTAAGCAAGGTATATAAGAAGAACAATACAACCCCCTACTAATTCATGGGCCTAGGTCTACAATCCACATGATCATTTTAATGACTCTAGCCCTAAGAAAACATAAACTTGACTTGTATTGTGTACAATGGAGCCTACATACAAAGTTTGATGAGTCTAGCTTGCATGCTTTCGGAATACGAATCGTTCGTACAGACAAACATACAGTAAGGACGGATGATTTTTATGCTTTTTAGGCGTGTAACATAGTTACTCATTAAACTGATATACCCCATTTCGATTTTGAGATACAGGATATATAATAAAAAGATAACGACTCCCTCGTTATCGTTTTTCGTAGTGCTTCAGAAAAAGTAATTACGTGGTCCGCACGCCCCAAGAGGCGCCTGAACTTTGGAGCATTATTCATAAACTAGCAGGTATTGCCCGTCTTAACCCGGCTCAATATAATGTTTCCAATTGTATTTATTTTGTGTGTGCATAACCTACCCATATGTTTTCACCTTATAAGTTACCAGTAGGAAGGCATTTAAGGTATTTAAATGAACATTTTCTGTTCTTGACAAAAAATTGTTCAGTAGTCCGTTACATTTTTGTTCTTGCCAAACTATTTCGTTCAACGAACATGACCACTATAACTAATACTTTTTTAAACCTCCCCCCTTTGGAGTTAGAATTTTCCAAAAGCCTTTCTTAGTGTGCTCCTACACTATGATGGATACTATGAAAGGATACTTGAGTCCAAATTTCATCTTTTACCGTTTGGGCTGTGCGTTGATCACCAATTAGTCAGGACAAACTGTTTTATATATAGAGATAACGCAACGTTTTAAGATAGACGATTTGCAAAAAAGGGGGAATAATTATAAGGGTATATCCTAATTTTAAATTCACATTTGAGCCTTTTCGTGCCATATTGAGTCAATACGGTCACGCACAAACTCGGAATATGAAACACGGCACTCGTGTCAATGCCGTGCAGCGATGAGCCACGATCAAAAAGCACTGACAATTCTCATCTCAATTTGCTAGAGTAAAACTTTCGATAGTTGAAGCCACCGATACCATCAAAATATCGAAGTTTGAATGCAATAAGCAGAATATTTAAATAATAAAATCTAATTATTTATTGAGATCAATAAGAACAAATCATACATACATACATCTGCCCGCAATGCGAAGCAGAATATGCGTAGCTCCGTTATTCGGTTTCTGCTTTACTATCGCTTACGCAGTCGTTGCTTAGCGACGGTAACTGTAAACTTTTGGCGTTTTGCCTTTGCAATTAACATTAAATGGTCAAAACGAAAGAAGATGTGCGAGCCAACAACTTAAAGTTGTTGTTGTTGTTTTGTATGTACATGCTACATACATATACAGGCATACATGCATATGCATGTACATATGTATGTATGCATGGGCACACATAGACACGAACTGTTGCTTGTTGTATGTATGTGTGAGTGTGTGTATGTGATGTCCCCAACTATTTGATATTTGATATATGGCAAGTAAAAAACATATTGCTATATTTTAATCGTTGAATGCCAATTTGTTGATATAATGTTGATTACATTACCCAAATTTGAAATCGATCGGACAAAATTTATAACACAAACTATTCATTTGAAAAAGTGAATAAATATTAAAACCCCAATAATAAAATTAAATGCGATATATCGAAAATATCGATACTTGTGTTGATATATCGTAATACATGTCGAATACAAATACATCGAAAAACATCGTTTGAGAGTTATTGATTATAATACTGTATTCGATTGTTCACTGTACACATATGTACATACATACATACAAATGTATTTGTGTGTGTACGGTAACTGTAAACTTTTGGCATTTTTCGTATGCAATTAACAGCCGTAAATTATCAAAACGAAAGAAGTTTTGCGAGCCAGTAACTTGAAGTTTTTGTTTTAAAAATTTTGATTTGAAAACAGAACACTATTTATTACAATTAAACAACAGTGTTCGATGGCCCACTGCATACATACAAACCTATATATGTATATAAGAATGTATGTACGTACATACATACTTATTGATGTACATATGTACATACTATACATACAGACGTATGTACATATGTATGTACGTATGTAATACATATGGTGCTGGTGTAATTCATAAGGCGAAATTCTTTCTAAGGGGAGCAATGTCCCCCCTGCCCAACCTGCGTACGCCTTTGTAGTCCGTTGTCCTAAAATCCCTTATGCCAAATGTACTAAACAAAGAAAAAATAACATAAAAATGTTTATGTTATAATGTTAATAATTTTTAATTAATTAACATTTCTTGCCCTGTCAGTGCAAGACGAATGTACTTTTATACATATGTATGTATGTATATATGTACATACATTTGTACAAATGAACATTCACACATTAGTGTCTCACATTTTGCTTTGGCTACTTCAACCGTTTGCACGCAACTACACGAACAGCTGCTTGTATATATGTACACTTGCCCGCATAACTCTGCGTACACACAAAAAAATACACAAATTTTAGCTTTAACTGTGAATATCTTTTAACATATGCAACTTATTGATCTAAATGTTTTTGATTTGCTTAGACTCGACATTTTTCTTAATAACTACATTTTTTTAAATATTAATATCTTAGTTGCACTTTTTCTTTTGTTTGAAGTTTGCAAAAGACTTTTGCTATGCATTGAAGTTGTGTTTGATCAATCACAACCATGGCGCCATCAGGAAAAGAGATCGACACTGACCTTCGAAAATTAATAATTAATTTGCGTGTCCAGGGCAAATCTTATAGAGAAATTGGGCAGCTGGTGGGCAGAACTCACTCATCATGTCAGAGGGTGTTCAATAATTATGTTTACTCGGGTTCGGTGTTACCAAAGCCACGATCTGGGCGTCCGTCTCTATTAACAAAGCGAGAGGGAAAGCGTATCGTTGCTTTAGTTCGCTTAAACCCAAGGATGACTGCTCAGCAGGTGCGTCTTGAGGTGGAAGAAAGGTTCTCCAAAACCATATCTGAAGACACCGTGCGAAGAGTTATTAAAAAAGCTGGATATCACAGCCGAGTTGCCCGTAGGAAGCCTCACATTTCAGAGGTGAATAAGAAAAAGCGCATGGACTTCGCAAATGAGCACGTGTCGAAGCCTGCTGAATTTTGGGACAAGGTCATTTTCTCAGTTCTGCATTTTTGGCATAAAAGGCAAGAAATTGGTGTGGAGAAAATCTGGTACAGCCTTAAATAAAGAAAATTTAGTGCCAACTGTCAAACACGGCGGAGGAGGAATAATGGTTTGGGGGTCCATGGCAGCTAATGGCGTTGGGAAGCTGGAGTTCATAGAGTCGATAATGGACCAAAAAGGCTATATCCAAGTTTTGAAGGACAATTTGCTGCCAAGTGCCCAGAAGTTGGGGTTGGAAAATGATTTTTATTTCCAACAAGATAATGATCCCAAACATACAGCTCACAGCGTAAGGCTGTGGTTGCTGTATAACGTAAAAAAACGTTTGCAAACACCTCCCCAATCTCCAGACCTCAATCCTATTGAGCATTTGTGGGACTTGCTCGAGCGCAGAATCCGGCAGCACAACATTACCTCCAAAAGTATGCTCAAGGAGGTAATTTTGCAGGAATGGGAAAAAATAACACCGGCGGACACAAAAAAGCTGGTGGAATCGATGCCTCGACGTCTGGCAGAGGTCCTTCAAAGAAAAGGATACCCAACAAGCTATTAATAAGGAATTTAGCGACATAATATGTTTGAAAAACAATTTGTACGCAGACTTTTGCGGGTCCATTTTTCAATAAGGTTTTGTTAAAAAATAGAAATAAAATATATTCATTGTTATATTAATATTTAAAAAAATGTAGTTATTAAGAAAAATGTCGAGTCTAAGCAAATCAAAAACATTTAGATCAATAAAATGCATATGTTAAAAGATATTCACAGTTAAAGCTAAAATTTGTGTATTTTTTTGTGTGTACGCAGAGTTATGCGGGCAAGTGTATGTGTGTGTGTAAGTATACTTAGTTGTCCCCAACTGTTTGATATTTTGTATTGTTTGTTCTGCCTGCATTTGTAAAATGCATATTTTAAAAATCGTTAAATGCAAAGTTGTAATTTTAGTTACGTAGATTATATTACCCAAATTTGAAATCGATCGGACAAAATTTATAACACAAACTTTTCATTTGAAAAAATGAATAAATATTAAAACCCCAATAATTCAAGCTCCAACACAAATTTCGAAAAACCGAGTATGCAGTTTTGTTTGTATTCTTTTATAGATTATAAAAACCAAAGTTGATCGATTCAGAAATGCAGAATTTTCAAACAAACTTCGGAGCTACTTTTCCCCCCTTTGGAGCTCAAATTTTCCAAAATCCCTTCTTAGTGCACATCTACACCATGATAGGATACTTGAGCCCAAATTTCAGTTTCCTAGCTTTTACCGTTTGGGCTGTGGGGTGTTGATTGTGTTTCAATTTTTCCACGGAAAACCCCCCCTTTTTCATGCCCCAGGAAAAATGGTGAAAAACCAAGTATACAGTTTTTCTTGTATTCTTTTTGAGAGTATACAAACTAAGTTTGAAGTTAATTGGATGAAAATTGTAGATTTTTCATACAAACGTTGGAGCCCGTTTTCCCCCCTTTGGCGTTCGAATTTTCCAAAACCGCTTCTTAGTGCTCACCTACACCACTGAAGACAACATGTGTCCAATTTTCAGCCTCCTAGCTCTAACCGTTTGGGCTGTGCGTTGATTGCACATAGCTTTTCGTTTACCGAATTTTCCACCGGAAAATCATTATTATTCAGGCCGCAGGAAAAATATTGAAAATCCAAGTATACAGTTTTTTTTGTATTCTTTGTGAGAGTATACAAACTAAGTTTGAAGTTAATCGGATAAAAATTGTAGATTTTTCATACAAACGTTGGAGCTCGTTTTCCCCCCTTTGGAGCTCGAATTTTCCGAAACCCCTTCTTAGTGCTCACTTTCACTATAAGAGGGATCTTGTGTCCAAATTTCAGCTTCCTAGCTCTTACCGTTTGGGCTGTGCGTTGATTGCCAATCAGTCAGTCAGTCAGTCAGTCAGTCAGTCAGTCAGGACAAACTGTTTTATATATATAGAGATATGTGTATTGAAATTTATGTAGAGTATGCCAATGATATCATGGGTACATAAATCACAACAGAATTAGGCTTGACAGACTGGGCATAAGCCCACTTTCTTATCAAAATCGTGAGCACGCTCACGAGCTATCATTAAAATTAAAATCGGCTCATTACCCAATGCGTGTGACAATTTTCACGAAGTGCGCCAACCCATAGATAAAGAAATTCGAGCAATCGTGATTTGGGAAGCACCCAATGTGCAACGCCAATGTCTTGTTAACGAATTGCTGATATATTTGCCATTTATGGCTCTCAGGCCTTTTTTTACACGGGATTGCTCGTCGCAATGTGTCAGCACTTTGGTATTTATAGTATGGCAGCAGCGATATGAACAGTGCCACCATAAATATCAATATGATTTGTATTGTTCAGATGCGTTTTTCCATCGTGTGTCTAGTCATTGGCAAAGTATGAAGATTGGTGCTAAATAAATGTTTATAAGAGGTACACTTCTTCGCATTGAAGAGCATTTTTTAAATTCCTACACACCTACTCAAATTTTAAAATTGATTCGCAAAATTCTTATCAAAATTGTCGCGACGCTTTCGCACTCACAATAATTGCAAGAGCGCTCCAGCACGAAATGATAAGACCCCTTCGGCGATTTTAGAGGGCTGATAAACCCAATTGGGCTCTCACTCACTCTCTCTCTCTCTCTTTAGACTTTGCTATAAATACATCCCCTAGGCAACCGATAGGTTCAAAGCTAAAAGTCAACCCGAGCAAGCAAGATTGAAGTGAAGAAACGGCAAGAGCCGACAAAAGTGATTTCCATGTTAGAACCAAACGCAATAAAAGTGAAAAATTTTAAATACGCAAAAGCGAAAGAAAAGACTTGAACTCTATCGGTGCGAAGCAAAGAAATAAATTCGCGCGCCTGCTTCGCAAACAGTAACAAAAATTCTATACCCAACGGAAACGTGCGGCGCGTGCAATTCCTCCAGCGAGAACATCATGCTGATATCCTATCGATGTCTCTACTCCCTCCTTATATCGAGCATAGCCTGCATTATGGTGGTGCTCACATCGGCGGCACACAACTCTCAGCTGCCGGTTCGCAAATGTGCCGGCGGTCAAAGCCTGCGCCTGGGTGTCAATTTGGGCACCTTTGGCTTTCTGGAAAATCGGATCAGCACGCTGGAGGCGCCGCGACAAACGCACTGGTCTAAAAAATTCCTCGCCAAGCGCGAGGCAACACCGCATTCGGCGCCCTACGTGGTCAGCATTCAGATGATGACCCCCGATCAGGGACTGGTGCACTATTGTGCAGGAACAATAATTAATGAGCACTGGATATTGACTGCTGCGCATTGTCTCAGTTCGCCACAGATGGTGGCCAATTCGGTGATCGTTGCGGGCAGTCACGACATTCACAATCATCGCGGGGAGGCCGCCAACATACAGCTACGTCGCATCGATCAGTATGTGAATCATGAGCTGTATCTGGGCGGTGTGAACCCCTACGACATTGCCCTGATCTACACCAAGAAGCCATTGGTCTTTGACAAATATGTGCAGCCGGCTGTTCTGCCCGAACAGGATGCCCAACCAGAAGGATATGGCACCCTCTACGGCTGGGGCAATGTCTCCATGACCGCCGTACCCAACTTTCCACACAAGCTGCAGGAAGCCAATATGCCAATACTGGACATGTCGCTGTGCGAAAAGATTCTGGCACGTTCAGGACTGCTACTCCACGAGACCAACTTGTGCACGGGCCCCCTAACCGGCGGTGTCAGCATTTGCACCGCCGATTCCGGAGGTCCTCTGATACAGAAATGCTGCGAAGACTTCTACGAGCAGAGCAACATCATCATTGGCATTGTCTCTTGGGGAAAAATGCCGTGCGGACAAAAGAATGCGCCCTCTGTGTTCGTGAGGGTTTCGGCCTTCACAGACTGGATCAACCAAGTCATTAGCACAGCCACCCAGATCATGTAAAATATTATCAACAAGGAGAGAGGAGTCTAGGGAGAACTCAGCATACATGAAAACTCGAATGGGAGAGAAACATAACAAGAACCAAAATATTAAAAAATAATTATTATTTATGCCGTTTTTGTGTAAAAAATTGAAAAAAAATTAATAATAATCTCAATTAAGTAGTTTAAAAAAAATTGTACAAAAAACACAAAAAATACTGCCCTTATAATATTTTAGTTTAGTTTTAAGAAAAAAAGAAAAAAAAATCAAATAAATGATTTAATTTAAAAAAAATCTGCGCTTCTCATTATTATAATTGTGAAATAGTATTATGTTGACTCAAGTCCCCCCAAGTCAACCGCATATCTGACAGACTGATAAGGCGCCAACCCGTTGAGGCCCTGTTGCTTGGGGGCTCGAAGATGGCTAGAAGCGTTAAGGCGACACGTAATTGTCGCGTATTAGTCACGCCATGTGCCAAGACGATTAGCGTGGCGTCTGTAATTTTTGCCAACGTTCCCCCCAAAACTTTTACCACGAGCCCATTTTGTGGGTGTGTGGGTGGGCCAATTAAACGTGTTAGACTTCGTACTGCTCTCTTTGGGTTTTTTGTGAAATTGGCCGACAGATTAGGCGCTAAATTATCTCCAGCTGTTGATAGGTAGAAGGTGGTTCGTATCAGCGACATGAGTCTGTTGTCTGTCGTCTGGTGAATGATTGGCAGTTTAAACAATTGAGGGCAATTTTAAAAAATTGAGGATTATCAGGTGTGGGTGGACTTTGAGATTACATGTGATCAAGGCTATAAAAAGTGACCGAATTTCATTGATTTGTTTGTTATGGAAAACAAAATTTTGTAACTAAATTGGACTATGAAATTTTTTAGGAAATTAGGAATCGATAATAAAGTTATACAAGTACTGCCTCGAAATTAACTTTTTTCTGTTTTTTCTTTCTTCATAAGTTGCTGATAGGGGATGTGATTTCCGTTGTCCTCTACTTGGACTTATTATCTTAACATCACAGTTGTTTGAATGATTAAGGACATTTCTTATTAATATTTGGGAATTCTTTTAAGTAAACCATGGGGTCCGCTGAGTAAACTCCTCGATCTTGCTTAAACCTTTACTTAAATATTTTGGTTATCAAAATTGTTTGTAAAATACATAAATTTTTCAGATATACTAATCAGAGCATGATTTTTCACATGGCGGTATTCTACGTTTTGCGGAAATATGGAATAAAACCCCACATAGGGTTAAAATTCAAATTTTTGGCAAGCACTGTATACCTTGCCTGTCTGCAGTAAATTCTTAGCATTGAGATTCTGTTCTTATGCGTGTTTGAAAGAAGGGAGTAACTCCACACAAGACCTAATCCTATCTAATTAGCACTTGAAATCTCTTGAGATAATATTCCGATTAAATATTTACGATTTCAGCAACAAAAAGCTGCCAATGTAGGCATGTACTTGACAGATAAGATATTACCAAAAGGTAAGATGCAGCACATGTCGAAGCATTATTTATACCGCAGCTTATTACACTTATTGGTTGTTACCAATGGCAATGTTTAGATAAAACATATTATTATAATAATCATTAACCTTCAACTTGGATTGTTATAGCCCTTTACATAAGTCAAATTAAATAACATTTCTTTTTGCAAATTGCGTCGTAAGGGGACATTTGTTAATTGCTATCTAATCTGTGAATTCCTATGCCCTGTCACGATTATGGACACGTTTAACCGCTTGCCAACTTTAATATTCTTACCATTTATGGCATTATGTGTTCTACTTTAAATTGCGATGTGAATTTATGCAACTCTTACGTTTCGATATACCTGGAATTTTAGATAGAATATCAAAGAAATGCCGCTTTACGTCTACAATGATTGAAAATTCATAAGAAAAGTGTTGTTTGGATTGCTGTTTATTTGCATAATACGTTACTCTTCATCTCATTGTTAATTAAGACGACTGTCTCAATACAAACTTTGTTGCATCGCTATTGTGTAAATAAATCAAACATCATTTGTGGCCTAATGTTTGAATTGCGTTCTACGAGATATTAAGATAGAAGAAGTTGCTTTATGTGACGTCCAAGACGTCCAAGCTTTGACGTCTTTGATTTGACGATTGCAAAAATTTATTTATGACATTTTAGTCACGTGCGTAAGCAAAGTGAGTGATATTTCTATGCAAACTCAGGGGGTTTTACAACTCGAAAAGAATATTTATTTGTTACAGATTAGATGAAAACAACAGTCCCGTATCACACAAGAAGAACAGTCTAGTTAACATACGAATTTTGTATACATTTTTACATAACCTTAGAATTGATCTTTCTGGCATTTTAACAGTTTTCAATTAAAGCTTACTTAATTTACATATCAAAAATACGTTGAAACCTTATTCCTACAGGATCTAGATTCTTTACTCCACTTTAAATTATTTTCGAATACTTTATGCTAAAGTACAATCAATTAACAACGTTGTGAGCAACAGCAAAATTATTCAATCACAAATATTTAAAATATGAAACAAATAAAATTTAACCTCAACCATACATGGTATTTTTGTACTGACTGCTAAAAGCCTTAAACCATTTTTGGTCCAACCCAGATCAGAAAAAATGAGAGAAATCTTAAAAAAGTTTCCAAATATAAGATTAACATTAAGCAATTCATGTAAATTTCTGGGATAGATTAATATTTACAGTTACATAAATACATTTTCGCGGTGGCATTAACTATCTGACCTAATAGGTTAAAAAGGGGTCTTCAATAGATAAGCTCACAAAAATTTGTCTTTTGAAAATCTATAACAATGTCTATATACAATTCGGTTGGTCCATTATAAAGCTGTACTCGAAAAAGAAAAGTGAACGCATTGTTAATTTGCATTAGGAAAGAGAAATCTAGAGAGTGAGAAAGTGCAAGGTTTCTGGATAGCGAATTAAATGAGTCTACGAAAATTTCGAGTGAATTCTCTCACTGAATGACTGAGCAAAAAAGTACAAACACAGCAGACATCAAATATCAATATAAATAAATTCCGCCTTTGTTTTCAATATTTGAAGGCCGTCGTTGCAATATGCAAGGAACACAAACACAATGATGTGTGAAAAGCAACTGCTGTTCTAATTAAAAAAAATAATTAATAATTAAGACAACTTTCGTTAGGAAAGGGAGGATGGAAAACTTTGTTTTCTATTCAGGGCGCGTGTATAAAATACAACAACAATAAAACGCACAGCTCCACGCACACAAACAATGAAACGCATTTACCAATACAAGCTTGTGTTCGCTCCCACTCACATACACACACATATACATGCAAAAAATATACCAGCATGTGCACACACACTCACCTTCTTACGAAGTTTCCCCCGAATGTGACACAGACGTTTGACGCCATCAAAGCACATTGCCTCCAAACGACCATTGCCCAGCATTTTGGTCACTTGCGCATACTCCTGTTGATCCTCTTTGAAGATTAGCTCGCGCTTCTCGAATTCATTTTCATTCTTTCCACGACGACGATTTTTGCCACCTTTTCCTTTATTCTTAGGCATTTTACTTCGCTAAGAGTTTGCTATTTGCTGTTGCGCTGTCTGTTACTGAATTCGGCTGGTGTTTGGTTGAAACACGTTTTTATTCACAAATTAAGCTGTCAAAAGGAATTGTTGTATTTGTTTAGGCAACATATTAAACAATTATGTTCATTTCAAAACGAATTATTTTTGTAGGATTGTTCACTTACAATTTTACTTCTCGGCGAAGAATGTGAAAAGGAATGAGGCAGTTGCGTTAAGTTGGCAGTTCGTCGCTTGCTGTGGTGGCAACGCTGAACATACATATGATGTATAGTTATATCGATGTGGGACATTGACTTAAACATCATAACCATCTCTAATACAAATGTTTTTGCTATTGTTGCATACGAAATAGCGTTGGAGTTAATAAATAATGCCACCTAAGAAGGACGCGAAAGGCGGCAAGGACGCTAAGGGAGGAAAAAAACCAGCGGCTGAAGAAAAGGGTATGTATCAACTGCATCGTGGAAGAAATAAAATATTTTTTCAAACGCATGCTTTAATGCAGGTGCTGCCGGCAAAGAGAAGAAGGGTGGCAACGCCGTCAAGGTGCGACACATCCTGTGCGAAAAGCAGGGAAAGATTATGGAGGCATTGGAAAAGCTGAAGGCTGGGCAGAAATTTCCCGAAGTAGCGGCAGCTTACAGCGAAGATAAAGCACGCCAAGGTGGTGACTTGGGTTGGCAAATACGCGGCGCCATGGTTGGTCCTTTTCAAGATGCTGCCTTTGCCTTGCCCATTTCCACAGTCAACAATCCCGTGTACACAGACCCACCAATTAAGACAAAGTTCGGCTATCACATAATTATGGTCGAGGGTAAAAAATAGAGCACGTTATTAGAATTTATTATATCTCAAGCAATTTTATTGTGAGCAAATTGGTTTTTATACACACACACATATATGTAAAAATGAAAAAATCTCGTTTGGCCATCTCTACTTCTTGCCGGAGTCCTCCTTGAGTCCCACAGTGCGATTGAACACCAGATGTGTTGGCTGGCTATCGGGATCCACAGAGAAGAAACCAATGCGTTCAAATTGGAACTTATCGTAGACCTTTACGCCGTTCAGCGCACGATCGGCGTATGCGCTGACCATCGACATGGAGTGCTCGTTGATGTCGCTCAGGAAACCATTGGGCACTTCATTCGGGTCCTCGGGATTCTTGTGCTTGAACAGCTGTTCGTAGAGACGCACTTCCAGTTCAATGGGCTGTGAGACCCATTGGACAAATGCTTTGGGTTTCTCCACAGCCTGTTCGGCAGAAACGCAGCTACATTCCAGTTCCAGCACCTGACCATTTACGTCTTGTTTCACCTGCAGCACGCTGATAATGAGTCCAGCATGACGCAAGCCGACGGACTGTTTGGGCGCTAAGCGACGGTAGCCCTTCTCCGGCTCCAGTTTAAAGTCACTGCGTTCGATGTAAACTACCTTATCCAGTATAATCTTGTGCGTGCCTTGGGAGGGATTTTGTGGAAAATCAGGAACTTCCAGCTCCACTGGCGCCGCATGAGGGAAATTGGTAATTGTCACCTTCAGGGGTTCCAGCACAACGAGACGTCTTGGGGCCGAGACATTCAGTACATCACGTACAGCTGCTTCCAACATGGAGGGATCAACGGCAATTTGAGCGCCTGTCACGCCCATTTGGGCGCAGAAATTATTGATGGCCTCGGCAGGAAAGCCGCGACGACGTAAGGCCGTCAAGGTGAACAGACGTGGATCATCCCAATCGCTCACAATGCGCTCCGTAATCAGCTTGGCAATCTTACGCTTTGAGACGAGCGCATAATTCATATTCAGACGTCCATATTCCCACTGTACGGGACAATAAATACCCAACGCATTGCACAGCCAATAATATGAGGAGCGTCTGGACTGAAACTCTTTGGTGCACAGCGAATGTGTGATGTCCTCAATGGAATCGCACAGACAATGCGTGTAATCATAAGTTGGATAAATGCACCATGCGCTACCAGTACGATGATGCGGTATGAATTTGATACGATACGCCACCGGATCTACTTTTCCTTCCTCCAGCGTCAGCTTAAGACGCAATGTTGCCGCACCCTCGTCTATTTTGCCGCGTTTCATGTCCTCGAAGAGCTGCAAGGACTCCTCAATGGGACGCTCACGCCATGGACTAGGCTTGGGATTGAAACCCTTCAGCTCTTCGGCCTTCTGATGACACACATAGGCCAGATTTTTGCGTATCAGCAGCACTGCCCATTCGTAAAGCTGCTGGAAATTGTCCGAGGAATGAGTTATCTTATATGGCTTATACCCGAGCCACTCAACCATGTCGTGTATGCCCACAAAGAATTTCTCCTCCTCTTTCTCCGGATTCGTGTCATCGTAGCGTAAATAGCAGACACCATTATGGGCGGCCGCATACCCAAAATTGATATTTATGGCCTTGGCATGTCCAATATGCAGGATTCCATTAGGCTCTGGTGGAAAGCGCGTATGGACGCGCCCGCCCGTGCGCTGAAGGTGTTCGCGCAATAAACGCTCGGTCTGCTCGGTGACCACATAGCCATCCGACTTGTAGTTCTCGCCGGGCGCGTGAAAATGCACCTTCGTCCTCATCAGCTCGGCAATGGTGTTGGCACCATCTGTGGCGGAGATGGGCTCGGCAACGGTTGCTGCCACCTCCGTAACTTTTGGCTTGGCCTGCTGCTGTTTGTCGCTGCTTGTTTGCTTTGGCAGCGGCTTGAGATCCGCCTCGGTCTTGGGACCCAGCAAGTCAAAAATTTCCACATCTATAGCCGCCTTTACAGACTTTGCGTCCGCCCATTTTAACTGTGTGCGCACATCCTGCATAATTTTGAACGCATTGAAGTGATAGCGCTGGTCCAGCAGCGCTTGCTTGTAGCTGCCCCTAATCCTATCCTGTACCACGCGCTCAATCTCCTCGGGCGTAATCACAACACCTACTCCACATTCACGTTCGAATTCTTCCGCATCAATGGCCGCGTTCTTCTTCTGCACGCTCTTGAGTAGATACTCGAGAGCCGCATCAACGCGTTGCGTGTTGTCTAGCTTTCGGGCTACAATGTAGCGCACCAGGAGCGGCAAATGATCAGCTATTTGGGGTTTTAGTTTGCTCGCCATGTGGTAAAGTAGCATGCCGACGCCATCGCTCAAATCATTAGAGCCGCTCTCTGACAAAGCCAATTGCAGGTTACGGGTTACATTGGCGTTCTTTAGGGTCTCTTTGGCCTTCTGCTCGCTCATGCCGAGCCGCTGGAACTGTAGAATCAGATCCTCATTGGCCACCATCCTCCTGATGTTTGCTGACGAAATAAAATGCTCGAATGATAACTGTGTGGCAACGTTGCGGGTGCTGCCAAGTTGATATCCACAGCTGGTGTTCTTAAATATTTACATTACATTGGAGATGTAATTAATCGGTATCGATGTTTTTAGAGTGACCACGTATGTTAAGGATATTTCGCATTTACTTCCGCTGCAAGGAGCGCGCGTTAATCAAAGTAAAAAATTAATTATAATTGTTTGTTTTTTCTTTTATTATCGTTTTATTTCTGGTTTCTCTGTGTCATCGGTCGCAATTGCTGTCGTTGCTACCTCCGGCGCTTCCTCTATATTTTCTCTTTGCTGCGGTGCTTCGGATGTTTCTGGTGCCGATGTCACCGCTGGTGCCGATGTCACCGCTGATGCCGAGGTATCATGATCATGCGGCTTACTTGATGGTTGAACTCGCATGTTCATTGAGAATTTGGCATTGCCTTTACCTGAATATTTTTCTACGATTTCAATATTTTTCGCCCAGACCTTGCAGGTTATGTAAACGACCTCGTTGTGAGGCATATCTCTCAGTTGCAAAGCCACCACCCGATCGACGCCTTGCAGGTTGTTTTTCGTATCAAAATATGGGCCTGGTATATACTTTATATTTGGAGATGTGCCTTTCGTAACTTCACATGATAACCAGATTTTACCAGGGCCTGGATATGCGACCATGCTAGATACTACCTCATCGGGCGCACTATTTGGTAACTCATCTAGAGTATCATAGGTTTCGGCCTTAAATCCAATTACCTTATTTATTTTGACAAGTACGCAGGGGGCCTTACTATGATAGCCCCACCAGGTATCCTGGTTGCATTCCTTAAAACTTTCCTGGCCGCCGTCGTTTAGGCTATTTAGGAATTTTTCGATTTTCACAACAAATGGTTCAATTTCACTAAGCATGTTTGGGTCAAAAGTTATAGTTGTCGAATTGCCAGGTACGATCGCAAGCCCTGGAGGTCCTTTCAGCCACCGTGGTCCGTCTTTTGGCATAATAAAAAAATGGAATATCAGCAGCCAAAATACCACGATTAGAATTATAAGAAGGTATAAAACTAGGTAGAACATTATAATTCTGAACCATGCCCAAGGTGTCCGACCACAAAATCGATTCTCTTCCATATCCAATATTTGCTTAGACCATGGCAAGTCTTTTTTGTGACGGCGCTGTTCCTCGTTGCGAAAGCGTTTCCGCACTTTATAGCTCCCGCTCGGGACCATTAAGTCTTCCGGCATTCTGATTACAGAAGTGTATTAAAATTTTTGACTAACTACAAAATATATGTGGAATTGTAATCGAAATGCCTACTCAACATTTTCATTCGCATGTTAGCTTTTTCTGACGTGCAAGCTTTAACACGATCGGATTATAACTGTTATTATTATCTCCCTATGTTGGGTATAAAGGTTCAGCAGCTTTTAAAAGAGCCTCGTTCGACTTAACATGAAGCCAAATCCGTACAGTTGCCTTATCGAGAGGTATATTTTTTGCCCAAACAATGCACGTCAAAAAAACATCGCGATTGCGTGGTATTTCAGAAAATTTAACGCCCATTACTCTGCGATAAGCTGGATTTTCAAATACTTCCTTTTCCGAAATATTTCCGAAAAGGGGTTGCACATAAATGTGTTCTTCTAAAAACAGCCCATCAGCTTCGAAAAAACGAGTTGGGACATACGTTATTTTTATATTTAAGTTGGCTTCGCAAGTAACCCAAACACGATTCCAACGGTGCTCAGCTGACATTTCCAATAGCGTATCATAGAGCTCATCGGGAGACTCCTCCGGCAAAGTTTTTGCATCGTTATAGGTTAAAACCTGAAAACCGACTGCGTTATTCAATTTCAGGAGTACACACGGCGAACTTGTCCGATATCCCCAGAACGAATCTAAATTGCATTCTCTTAAATGCCTCTGGCCTTCAAGTCCATATTTGACGATGTAATTATCAAGTTGCTCTACCAAGGGATCGATATCTTGCACAATAGTCTCTTTATATTGAATTTTTACCATGTGACCAAGATTTATTCCGGGAGCGCATGTTAGACTCGGAATCTTATTAAGGTACGGCTTACTGCTACCACGCGATAGAAATAAAAGGTCGAAAAAGAAAATTGCGCCAATGGCTAAAAATGTATAGAATCCACAATAGTATCCAATAAGTATCATACAGCGCTTATGCGAGTACTCAACATGACCAGCATGTAATCGTGATCGCTGCTTATAATTAATCCACAGGTTTTGGCCGTCGAGCCGTCGATTTCGTTTTCCTACCTCATATGGACCCTTCGGTATAAGAAGCTCGTTAGGCATGGCCTTTTCCTTTTGATGCTCGCAACGAAAACCCGATGTTAATTGGTTTTATTTTTCGATTTCAAACTCAAAGACTGCTTGTTTAAAAACAATTTGATTGCAATATGCAGTCGCCCTGTTTATATAAAAATATTCATTGACTAGATATACATATATACTTTTTTTTTACTAACATTATCCTTTTGTTATTATTTATTCCATATTTTTTATTAATAAAAATATTTATAAAGATAATATGACTGGATTTTTTATAGAGATTCATTTAATATTGTTTAAGGAATATCATCAATTCAAATAGTTCATAAACGGCTGAAGTTTAATCTTAAAATCGATATATTGGACAGCCATCATCGGCTATCGATAGGAGGCATTCAAGTTATATGGTCACCCTATAGTCACATACGGCGGCAAACATTTGCACAATTCATTGCCAGTTGTAAAGTAAACATAAATAATGGGTGATGAATACGTGCGTCCGCCATTAAGCAGAATTCCCGGCACAGTTAAGCTTAAGGAGCAACACAGCAAGGACTTGAAGACGCTTAGCTATAACGAATTGCTGGAGATGAAGGATCGTCAAAGCAAATTCCTGACATTCAAGTAAGCATGAAGAATAAAATAATTATCAATTAAATTCAATGTGTTTCGTTGCAATAGAAAGCGTTTGCAACTGTTGCCAGACAAGGGGAAACGCCTACAGGAGTCGTACGATAAACTCTTAGCTGAGATTGAACGTCGCAACGATGTCAATGAGGCTGCGGAACTTCTCTCCGAGCTTAATATTGCGTCCAAAGGGAAGACAGTGCTTAACAATTTGGAATGGCATGGTCGGTTGTTACCCAACGATGGCTCGTCGCACGTGGCCGACATCCTGGACAGTGACGATGAGCTCGAGATGGATCCGTTGCGAATAATTGCTCAAGGCACCATGCACGAAAAGCAAGTAAAGATAATACCGCCGCCTGCTTCGCTAATCACAGCTGCCGATTTGGCGGATATAGCTGCCTTTACTGCAGAATCAAATACACCTTCACCAGACTCGGTGCTGGCGGGACAAAGCGACATATCTGCCAGCGATTCCGCAGCTGAACATCCGCCAATAGAAGCTGACCTGATTGAGATTGATGCTGCCAAGTTGGGAAAGCAGCAGCCGACCACTGAGCTGGAGCAACATGCTCTCTACTTGATCGAAAAGACAGAAATGCAAACAGTGCACAAAGTTCGCGAGAAGTTCAAACCCTATCGCACAACCATTTCCAATGTACATGATCCGGATAAGGAGCGGATTCGCAAAAAGAGTAAGCACTGGGAGATAACTGCGGCCACGCCCCCACTCATTCAACATAAAGAGGCGCAAATGGTACCTCTGGCTGAGTCCGCAATGCTTCAGACCGACTATATAAGAAAAGTGAAGGTTTGTTCAACCAGCCTAAAATCATTTGTCTATCATTATGAAGCTAATATTAATACTTATCACATTTCCAGGACTTGCGTGAGAAACAAGCTGAAGAGCATTTAGCCAAGCAGCTAAGGAATACCACAATACGTCTACCCGAAGAGTCTATACTGAAAACGAAAAGCTCTTTTCAAGCATATCGTAATCCGCGCACTGATTATCTCATCGAGGGCAAGCAGCGTGTCAGCGAGCAGGAAGAGGTCCAGGACCCCAGCATTGCGGAGAAAGCCGCTAGCGGCATTAACTATGCCGTCTACAAATAATATCGAAATAAAGCTGTAACATTCACATCTATTTATTTTTGTTAGTCACAAATACGCGGTAAATTATGTAATTTTCGATGCTACAAACAACATGGAGCTGTGCTCAAGCAACTTTTAATTAACATTGTGCTAGGTTATCGTAAGACTTTGTAGATTAGTCAGTTGTATTAGATATCCAATAAGTATAGCAGTTTGGCAACATACATTTTAAATCGAATAGAACTGTGTGGCTGTCGAGGCTTGCAGCTCTATCTGGCCCATTTTAAACTGGAGGCGTTGCAGCCATTTGAGTAGAGCTTCCGACTTATGTGCCTGTTGTTCCTCATAGTCGGGTGCATAATCGCGTACATTTTGTAAACGCACGTGCAAAGTATCCGATAGCTGATTAAGAGTAAAGAGATTAATCGACAGATTGACAAATGTTACATCAACTTTCAGAATAAGAAACCCATTAAACAGAAAATACAGAAGTGTGAGAATACGAAATAAAATGTGTATAAATTAGTTTGCAAAAAATTATAACATCATCTAAGAATTATTAACCGAATTTTCACAGATTTGTTAACAAAAATGAGAACCGGTTTTTTTAATTCTACTTCCGAATTGCGCAAAGGTAACACTTTTGATTTGGTCGGATTTGAAAATAAAAACTGAAACTTTTAAAGTACAGGCAAATGCAATAAACTGAATTAAACTATTATAATTAAATAAAATTAACTTTATCCTTGTAAGCTTACCTGCGTTTGTGAGGACAGCACCGGACTCCACATGGGCAGCAATTTGCCGAGCACCGTGGAATTGGTTTCTTTGAGAGCCTCCAATAGACTCAAAAAGTGCAAATTAACCATTTCGGACAGCTTAGCATTGGCGCTCTGGGTTTGAAAGTCGGCACTGGACTGTGCATGCATGTCCTTGCTGGCCGGCTTGGCATGTGAGACCAACTGTAGAATGCACGGAGTAACCTTGGCCCAGAACTCGAACAGTACACCCAAAGTGCTGCCCTCGATATTGCTGTTGGTATTGTGCGCCATTTGCTCCAGATAGACAGTCCACAATTGGCAAAGGGTGAAGGCATGAAACAGCGATGACATGTGCAGGACGGAAGCCTTCGATTGCTCGGCGAAGCCAGCGAATATGACTTGGATGTGATCGGCTATGTGGCAACTGGCCTCCTGAGGCACAGGCTGCGAATAGGTTACTCCCTGATGTTGATAGTGAACGCTAGGCGCTGGTGGTTGTCCTTGCTGCTGCGGGGGTGGTGTGGGTGGTGGCAGGGCTTGGGTTTCCGCGCGTCGCTGCATCAGAGCCATGTGTGTGAGTGAGCCGAGCAACAGCCACGATAGCAGACGCATATGCCCCACGCACTCAGTAAACTCCTTCGGTCTGAAAAGGGAGCACAAATATTCATTTCCAGCCTTCAGTACTGTGTTTGTTAAGCGCCACTTACCCTTGCTGCAACGAGGAAGGAGCATTGTTGAGCCAAGGTAGATAGCGTGTGACTGCCCTGTTGTCTCGCGAATTCCCGCGCGACATTTCCAGCGCCAAATATTGCGCCACGGCACCCTTCAACACGCCTCCGAGGGTATCTTCACCCAAGCCATTGGAGGTTTGTCCATTCTTGAAATTCTAAAGTAATTAGTACAGAGTTAAAAGTATTTTAAGATAATAATAATATTGTGAACTTTCCATATTTGTCGACTGAATATACATAAGTATGTACATTTATATAAATAAACATTCATTAAAAATAAATAACCCTTTACATAAAACAAAAAACATTCCTTAACATTATTCGATTAGAAAATCAAATTAAGATTACAAATCTATGGACGGTTGATGGGATATTAAATAGTTTTTAGCTGTCGAAATCGAAAATGAAGGGAACTGACCAAGGATGTTAGAAATCTCACCTTAATTTTGCTGAGCGTATGAAAATCAGCTAGAAAATCGATGACGTCGTTACTAATGTACTGCCTTAAGCAGTCGGCGGCATTTGTGGTCAAGGCTGGTGCCGTCTCTGGCAGACCAGGCAGGGCTCCTGGCGGCAAAGTGCCACCGGCATCGAGCAGAACAAAACCAATGATCATCAGCAGATTATGATCAGGTATGTTGGATTTAAATTTAAGGGCCTGGACAAATTCGTAGATCATTTGACGGCAGAGCAAGTTTTTGTCGCGATCCTTATTAAAGGAGCGTGTATTCAGCGTGCACAGATCGTAAATGGTTTGGTATTCCAGATTCGTGTGCTGCACGCAATATGCCATGATTTTGGAATAGGGATCGAGCAGTGTTTTGGGCACACAATTCAAACGCAATGTGGATGCAATCAGATCCAACAAGTACTCAGGATTGCTTAGACTGGGCATGATGACAATAACCTGTCGTAGTAGCGATTCCATGGCCTGCATTGCCTGCGACCAGACAGCCAGACCCACTCCCGCCTCGACGGGCACACATTGCAAGTACTCGGCCATATTTCGGAAGATTACCGGCAGCTGTTCGACCGGTAGCGCCTTTTTGGAGGTCAACGATTCGCACACCATATAAATGGGACTTGTTGCATTCAAATCCTGAAAGTCCTGCAAGGCTTTGGCAATGCTGCGAAAATGATTGTGTCGTATTTTCACTGAAAATGGAGAAAAATTAATAAAGCTTTTAAAATATGAATCACTACTCACTTTTCATTTGCGTTTGGAACACCTGCGAGAAGATGCCATTCGGGGCCAGCTGATGAAGAACGCAGCGTATGAATTGCAGAGCCACAGCTTGGGCGCTGCTTGCCAGGGGCGGCCCATTCTCCCCCTGCCACGCATGTGTACAGCTTAGGCATATGCTGAGGTTAAGAGGGAAGTTATTTAAATTTCGCAGGATATGTTTAAGGTTTCTGTACCGTGATGTCATGGTTAGTATCTCTGGTAGAAATGGTGCTGCTATAGCGGGCTCGCGATGTATAAACGTTCCCAGTATGACTATCAAAATGCCGATCTCCTCATCCGTGTATTCTTCAATTACGGCGCCGCAATCCGAGCAGCGCTCAACCACTGTATAGTCGCCAACGCGACGTGAGCTCTGTTGGGATGAGGATTACAAATTTGTATTATTAATAATGGAAATATTTGGAAATCAAATGCAAGTTAAAATTATTAAAGCACTTCTTAATTCCACAAGTACAAGTATTGTACTTCTTAATTGTGATTACACCAATTCATATACTAAGTAAATACATATATCTGGATATTGTTTAAATATGTAGGTAAGAAGTGCTTCAATTATTCAAGAAATGCTCAGAAATTAATCCTTATTAATCGTTAACTGACGATTGACATTTTCAGGTCCAATAACCTGGTCCAAATAATAGTAATTACCATAATAATACCATATGGTTCGGCTTAGCAAGTAATAATGATTTAGAAATAAGTAAAATAATATGCTATACAAGTAGATCACTTCTTTTCAAAGACAATCCTTGTAGGTGCTCAAATGACTAATTCAAAATAAAATTCTGGCTTATATAATAAGTCCATGAAATGTTCTTTAAAAAGTGTTGTTTTTTTCCGAAATAGTTCAAAAATAATTCCTCATTCACTCCCTCAAAAGAACTAATAATTTCTAATTCTACAACAAATAACTGATTTCCGAAGAAAAAGTAACAAAAATCGGTGAATTAATTTAAACAATTTCATAATAATTGTTTGATATATCTACGACTTACTCCGCGATGTGCCTGCGCTGATGGGCCCGCCTGTGAGGTGTGTCCATTGGCCGTCTCTGGTGCTTCGTCGGCATCGTCGTCATTATCCTCGGCTGGTTGGAAGGGCGGTGGTGGCCATGATCCGGCAAATCGGGAGCGTATATCTGGTATGGCATTTGTGTCCACATTGAACGGCGCTAGTTTCTGACGGGGACGCTTTATACTGCTGCCAGTTGCGGCTGAGGTGCCTGCCGCATGTTGGCGATCACTGACATGTCCGGGCGCATGCGCACCACTTCTTAGGTCATGTGAGACATTCTTCAAGATAGAGGTGTGTAGATCTGGTTGTTGTTGGGACTGCGCAGTTGAGGGCGCAATCTGGGGCTGAGGCGCATTGGGATTGGGCGGTGATTCGAGCGCGACTTGTTTGATTAGACGACGCGGCGATGCAGTGCGACTGCTGGGCGTCACATCGTCCTTGGTGCTCTCGGAAACATCCAGGCTGTCCTGCTTCAAGTGACTTATGTCGGGCAAATGGAGACCCTCGCGCACACGTTCCACCAATGCGGCCACTGAGTCCTGTGTGCCAATCGGCAGCAAACGCTCCGGAGTGGGTATCTCCAGCTGGGCAATGTTCTTGGGCGGTGGCAACAAGGCAGCATCGGCCTCGTCACGCGGATTGGGCATGACGTTCATCTTGGAGAGAGGCGAGTCGGGCGAGCCATAAGTCTTGTCCGAGCGCTTAAGGGATTTGGTTTGCGATTTCTTATGACGCGTCTCCTCTGCATTAGAAGTGGTGTTGGATGAGGATGAATTGCCAGCGCTGCACTCGACAATCGTCTTGTGCCGACCAATGGGCTTGGAACTGCTAGCAGCCGCCGCAGCAGAAGCAGCAGCTGTGGTTGTTGGCTTTCCAGCACTGCCGGAGCTGCTGCCGTTGGTGGTCGAGCGACTGCCACTACTGGAACCGCTTGCCTTAGCCTCGCTAATCTTGCCCGTGGGCACTTCCTGTAGAGCTCCCAGTGCCTTCAGATGATTTGTGGCAATGGCTGCGAACATTTTCGAGGTGGAGGCGGCCGCATTCTCCAGCGACTTATTCCTCACAGTCACAGCGCGATGCACATCCACCGGAGGACTTACGATGGCCGTCTCTGCGGTCTCGGCGCCCACCAAAGGTGTAACAATCATACGCACACCCTCCTGCAGGCTGTGGCGAGTGTGTGTGGTCACAACAGTGGTGCTGACAGTCTCACTGGTTGTTGCCTTGATTTTCGTTGTATATGTATCGCCAGTTTTGGTTGTAATCATAGATTTGTGTACCTTGGTGGATTTCTAAACCAATTTTGATCAATTTAGGCTCTTTTTTGAGGTTAAATAGTTTTTGTAGTAAATACCTCTTCGGTGTATTCCAAGCCTCGGCGATGGCGCAGTGTTTCCAATTTGGCGGGCATCACATCCTCAAAGTGTATGGTGTCATCAAAGGAGCCCTTAAACAATTAAATATAAATTTTAATAAAGATTAAAAACATTTAACAAATTTTAAAAAATTAACAAAATATTTTTTGATTATTCATTTGTAAATTTAAATATCACCCATGAAATAGTTTTCTCTTTTAAAGAGACATTTTCAATATATGTTCATATATGCGGAGAATGTATTATCTAACAATTTGGTGGTTCAGTTCGAGTATATTTTTGAAAAAAGTAGATATTTACTTGTATTTTATTTAACAAACAAAAAGCAAGTAGATCTTCCAATAAATTCAAACTTAAAGAACTTGAAAAATATACTACTTATAGAACCTGAAAAAATCAACAAAGTCCAATTTAAAAGTTAGGAAAATGTTTTAAAAGAAAATACGAGGCAAAATAAATAGAAGGCTCAGCGAAAGCGAATTGGGGAATTTTTCTTTTTACCCGCAAACGCAAATCAAAACTCAAATTGTAAGATACTTTCTTTAAAATAAGATTCAAAAGCAATAAACTGAAAGAGGAAATTTTGAAAATTTATAAACGGAACGCGATATTTTGGGAAGCATAAACCGAAATCTAACGCGATTCAGCTTGACATCGAAAGTGGGAGGACGTTTAACTAAATTCCGAAATGAAATCTGTTTAGATCGTATTTTTTCCCACTCTTACCGGGGCGCTGCTGCCGTGGAGAGTGCTGTCAGATAAATCGCTTTCTGGTATGGCCACCAGCTCCGATTCCGTTTCATCAGCATCCAGACTGGAGTCGTTGTATTTGCGGAAAGCGTGCTGCAATTTCGGTGTGAAGGCCACATTCTGTCCCTTGCTTTTGGACGCTGCACTGGTGCCCTCGGATGGAAACATGGGACTCGCCGGCGGACTGGCTTCCTTGTCATCCGGGTCTGTGCCCAGCGAAGGCTGGCTGACGTCCCGCGACCGTGCTGCTCCACCCACGCCCTGTATATCCAAAATCGTGGTGGTTGGTATGCGTCGGCATTGATGGAAATGTCCGCGCATGCTATTCATAATTATGCGTATAGCCGAGATCACATAGCCGCTGAGTGGGGGCTGTGTGTATGAGTATTTGTAGAGCACTACGAGCAGGGTGAAGAGCCAATTTCGACGGGGATACTGCTCCAAATGCCATAGCGAATAGTTGAATACCAAGTTTTGATACGAATCGCCCGACGTATTTGTGGGATTAGGCGCGTACAATATGATTTGCATGACCGAAGGCAAAATTAGGCCCCCAATTAGATGATTCTGATCCAGAACTTGGGGTAAGTTGGCCAGGAAGGCATTAAAGACGGCAGAAACGCTGTTCAATTCAATCAAATTCAAATAAAAATTAACACAATTTTTAAAATATATTCTACTCACCGCAGGGAGTCTGGCGAGGTGTGGAATGTCTTGTCAATTTGATTATGGCCCAAAAGCAAAAACAAATGTTTCAATACAATATTCTGGGTCCTGGTAACGGGCTTGTCTTCCGAGGGAAATGCCTGATCCGTCCGTGACATAAATTGCATTAATAAAAATACTAGCAAGTGTATGGTCTCACGATCCGATTCCTCCAGCTCTGTTATGCGACTTAGAAGCCCAATCAGATGGTCATCATTCAGGCCGCCCAGTGAGTGGATGTGGCCATCTAAGTGCAAGGGAAGTATCTCATATTAAAATTATATCTACAGATTTTCAGAAGTATTTTCAAATTTTGAGATACACAGCAAGTTTTTTGTTTTCATGGACAGCAACATGCCAATTGCACAATTAGATTCGAATTTATAAATGTATGTACACAAATGATTAGAGAGTTAGCCAATTAGAATTTGATTTTGATATTTCTTTCTTTTTTGGTTTTATTTTTATGGGTTCGCACAGCCAAGATATATATATAGAGAGAGACAGATTTGTTGAGCATACGTACCAGTTCGGAAGGGTACACTTAAAATGAGTTGTTTGTGTATGAAAAGCAGAGTTACATTGCACAGCACTGGCTAAATAGATAACATTTAGTACTAGATGTTATGATTAATGATTTGTGATAAGGCTTTAATGAGGATGAATGAATGGGAAATGACCATGCGAGGGAAACAAGCAAGAATATTGGCTAGAACGAGCAATTCGGAAACTATTGTATTTAAAGAACTTAGAAATAAAAAATTGTACAGACAAAACCAATACGTTCATTACCATATATTTTTTATGCCAACAAAAATGTTTTCCAACGTGCAGAAGACTTAAAAAAGTATAAGTATAGGAGGATCCGTTCTAATCAACTGCCTAAACCATATAGTAACTCAAAAATGTATGAAGCTGTTTAACTACAGTCTAACTAACTTCATCTATATAGAATTAACTATTTGGCTAATTTAAAAAATGTTTAATTTAAATACTTTATCTAAATTTATTGTATTAGATCATGTTCATAAAAAACGTTGATATTTGAAACTTTTTATAATATTTGTAGTTGAAGCTATTGAAGATTCATTCTCAAGATTTACGAATCACAACACTTCTATCCCAAATGATCTATCACATATAAATTAAATACAAAATCTAGGAATAGTATTTATTATGAGAACTATCAGGCAAATAATTTAGAAATTAGTTTTTTTGATATACCTTTGTTGTAGAAATTGTTTAATTTAAATTATTTGCCTCCCTGGCCATACCTTTAGTTATAGACTAACAGCTATCTTGTTTGGCTTTTCAAAATCGCGCCAATATAGTTTTTTTAAGGAACCGTCAACTATTTTACAAATTGTTATAAATAGATTATTATTTTCGGCTCGCTTGCTCGCGTCTATTTACACAATTGAGTAACATTTTTAGTCTACTGTTAAGCGTAGTGTAATAAGGCAATTAGAAAATATGATAAATGATAAATTGTGAAGGATGGGGAATAACACATTAAAACGTCGAGCGCACACCACTTGGGATTACAACGACGATTGTAGCTATGCGACACACATGCTCTACAACCTACCTGGGTTGGCGGTGGTGCCTGTGGTGCCAGCAGTGCTGCTATTGGTAATTGCATGTGGTGGTGGTGCAACATCACAAGTGCAATGCATTGGAAATGTCAGAGCCGAGGGACTGGGACTGGGCGCTGGCACAATTGCGGGTTGTGCCGGCAACAGATTTGGTGCCGAAGGATGTTTTTGGAAATGGGAATGATAAGAGGTGGCAACTGCGTGGCTAGTACTGCTCATAGTAATGGATGGTGTTGCAACTGCCGATGTTCGTTGTGGCTCTGCCTGCTGGTGTTGGGAGAGCGTCGTCGACGAAGTCTGGAATGTTTGCTGAGCTGCCTGGGAGCGCAGCATTATTTCAGCCTCTTGGAGCGTCGGCATTGGACTATGATGCGTTTGACTAGGCGGTACACAATGCACTAAATACTGATGGCTTTGACTATGAGTAGAGGATAACGTTGATGTGGTCGCTACTTGTGCACTACTACCGGCATGATGCTGGTGATATTGGTGGTGTGGGAGTACATGTGGGTGTGGTTGTGGATGGTGTGATGCATGTGTGTGGTGGTGGTGGTGGTAAAGGAATGCGGTGTGTTGTGTGCTTGGAAAGCTCTGTGGCTGGTGTACGGGACAGGGCTGGTGTGTGACCTTGGCACGTGTATGTAAGGTGTGCGTGTTGCCAGTTGTGGCCAAACTATGACTAGCTGTATTTGCTGTACTTTGGTTGCCACTACTACTGCCTAAAAACTGACCCAATCCGAACCGCGACGTTTTCCGCTTAAGTATGGGCGCCGACACCTGACGACTGTAAATTTTCTCCTTTTCGGGCACTGTAAGTAAAATATTTTGAAATAGATATTTTAATTATAGTCCATGTAATACCAACATTAAAAAAAAAAATAAACGATAAATTCTAAAAAAAAAAAAATGTATAGATGTATAATAAACTCCCTTAGTCGTTTAACTTAAATAATCATTATCTACATATATCAACTATAAGATATAGAGCTTAGATTTTAATGATGAATCTTTAGAATATGGTGGGGAAAAGGAAAAAAACATAATGAGCAATAAATTATTTTACTGAATATAACATTCAGAATATAACATTCATTTAGAACCGATCCTTTCGATGACAACTACATAAGATAGACAGGCTATATATGTTTTGTGATAAACTTGATATGCGTATAGATAAGACGCGTATACATGACAAATTTCATATCACTAGCTGTTTTGGGTCAAAAGTTATCGATGTTCATACAGACAGACAAACGAACAGAACGTACCGTCGCGACGGTCAACCGTACATATCTATAGTATACCGATTCGTCTCGTCGTGCTGCTACGCCTCGTTCTGTCTCTCATCTTTCATTATTCAAGTACACGGTTCACATATATTGTATACAAATACTTTTCTAAATAATTAATATTCTCACTTAGAGTAGGATTGTGATATCTAAGAACATGAATAATCATATCAATATTTTGTATTAGATTTACCAAATTTAGAGTCCTGACGCGGTACCATGCTCGCTGGTGCAGACATTGTGCGTTTGTAGGGCCATTTGGTGCCAAAGGAGGCGCTCAGGGTCTTGGCCATACTACCACTGGTGTCGGACTGACTGAGAGCCTCTCGTGCTTTCAGTATTTTTGCCGATAATGCTTCGCTGCCATTGTCCGAGTTGCGCAGATCACGCAAATATGATATATCGCCACATTTCTCCAAATTGATTTGTGCCTCGACGAAAAGCGTATCAAAGCGATTTAGAAAGAATTCCCAATTGAGCATTTTGCGATCGGATAGGGAGTTGTGGAGCTGATAAACGGATTGTAATACCACCGGTCTATCCACAATGAATAGATCGAATTGTGACTCCAAGCAGAAGAGCAGTGACCGTATTGCCGTATCATGTATGGTTCCGATATAGAGCGTGGCACGCTGTGCCACATACACATTGATGTCATCCATGCTAGCGATTAGATGACAGAATGCAGTGGCTAGGGCCGTTTGTAGGCCCACTTCGGTGCGCAACGGCGTCGAATCCATAAAACGTGTAATCACGGTTACTCGTTCCACTGCTGTGAAGCGCACACGCCAGTCGGTGTCATGAAAGGCCTCCTGGACCACACGCCAGAAGACATCGGAGCCCAGCGGCAGGGTAATGCAATGAAGTAGCAAGGGCACGCCCACCTGACAGATGTGCGAGTGCTCGGCATTGCATAACTCCCACAAACTGAAAGAAAGGAAGGGAATGTGAAATAATTATAATGGATGTCTTTCTTTAGAAAAAGTTTACTCATTAAAGATAATGAGAGCAGCGCTCTTATACATAATCAGGAATCAGCCAATAACTTAAGGGAACTGAAAGTTTTTGTGCTAGTAGGAGTATGGCATTGGTCTTAAATTCCCGAAATTATTGAAATGTGTAAGATATCTTTCCGCCTATTAACTTACTTATATAAAAAATACGTCTTTGGCTGATTTTGAAAATAAAACCCAAAATATAACTATTAAGCTATTTGTTTAGCATGCCAAATTGCAGCCGATAAATAGATTTGAGCTTTCCACTCACTTTTTGATCAGCAAATTTTCCTGACACCATATGAAAAAGCCACGCTGTTCGCGAGCTGCCTTCGCCAAAGCATCGCCATGCAGTGCCATTGTATTCAGACATTGTAGTACGTAGTACAAAATCTCTGGCTTCTTGATAGTGGGTATTTCCTGAGAAGATGCGAAATAATAACAATTAATTCTATTCAAAATCTGAAATATACTAGTATGCATAATGTATACGCACTGTTAGCAGCTGATGTATGTACTGAAGTGTTTGGGGCAGCTGATCGAGCGTGAATTTGAATTTTCCCACAGATGTATGCCAAAAGTCGTCGCTATCCTCCTCCTCTTCATCGTCATCGGAGCCGCTGCCATCTTCCCCAGCGCCGCTGCCATTCACACCATTCTCGCCCATTACCGAGGCTTTCGTAACGCTGACATTGGCGCTGCCTGTGAAGGATTAAAATGGGTTCAATATGTTGGTTCAAAACAGGCAGTATTCAAATTAGAAAACTATTCAAAAAATAAAAAATAAAATGAAATTTACATTATTATTATTTATTTACTTTAAATATTTTACAAACCCTTTAATGGATGATTCACGTTTTGTTTGATTTTCTTTTCTTTATGCAACCTTTCTAAAAAGTTTTAATAAATGATTTTTAATACCGATCTTCAAAAGTAAATTTCTATTTTCGCAGATCATCATTTGAAATTTATTTATTTTCATAAATAGTTTCCAATAACGACCTCTTCATCACGAATTGTGAGATCCCACTTTAACCAACGTTTTTTAAAAGGCAGTTTTTAATAACTCAAAACTATTTAAACATTTCTTAAGCTACAATATAAAAAACCCGGGAAAATTATGAATATTTATTAATAATACCAAAGAAAGAATTTACAATATAAGAACATTTTCATTTTTACTTACCCACATCGGCATCGGACAGTGTTATGGAACGTGCTATGGCTCGATCAGATGGCAATATAGATGCCAAATCCAGCTGCTCTGAAACAGTTTCTACTGTGGCCGTCATGATCTGTGTGGAATAGCAAATGCTTTGGCATTATGTCGCATATTTTATGGTAAGCATATAAAGCATATCATATTCATATTTACACGTTATTTTACATGTGATGTACATTATTTTACATTCCTTACACATACGAGTAAGTAGGTACACATGTATGTAGTATGTAGATAAATGCATTTCTTTTGTTTTGTTTTTCACATTTCTGGTTACACTTACACATCCATTATAAAGTGTTCTTATTATTGTTTTGTGTTAGAAATTAAGTAGATTACATAAAGATTACATAACACATGTAAAATTACATCAAATTTAAAGGTCTTGTGCATTGTTGATTTATTTGTGATTGGATTTATCAATTTATTGGGTGTGGCTATCAAAAAAAATTGTGGTTGTGCTGTACATTGAACATGCTCGAACAATGATTATAATTGAAATGAAATCGAAACGAATTAGCAATAAACGTAATATTTACATGTAAATAAAGGATATGTGAAATCAATTAGTTATAATTATGAAATCGAATTTTACACCTAATAATTTGTTTTTTTTTCTGTTTCTTGTTGTATTCCATATTTTTTATTCACACACATACAAGATACTTTGAGACACAGTAGTAGTGGAAAGGATCTTAAAAAATGAATAATGTAATAAAATTCTATAGCTTCGTATTACAGCTAGGAAAAAAACGCCTTGAGCTCTAAATGCTATAACAATTTCAGAACCCTAAATGCTCTTAAAAAAACACATTTTATTAATGTTTGTAAAAACCAATACAACTATTCTTTATTAAAAAATTAAATGGCTCAAAAGTTGCATTTACAACTCCTCACACGACTTCTAATGAGACAAGAACTGTCTCTATAAGGTACATCCCAAAGTATACAGGACATTAAATAAAACTATATTAAATAAAATATTATTTCCGGCGCCACATACATATTTATATTGACTTTGTTATTCAAGAACAACATTGATTGACATCTCGTTTAAAAATCATGGGAATCGAATAATGTTGGTTTTCTAAAATTCGTGATTACACTGACAATGCAGTCGAGAAAGTACTTGAGTTGATCAAAATCCAGGCACAATAAGGTACATACTATATCCATTCATCGTATCAAATCCGAAAATTTTGACTGTTTTGTTTTGATCCGCATATACTATATTTACTGATAACCAGAAGTGGCTCGGGGAACCAAAACTTCTACATATTGTGAAGCAATGTCAAAGTTTCCAATGGAAGTAACCAAATGGGCCGAAACCCAAGAAAAGTCGCCCGGAGAAGTCCAAAGTAAACTCAATGTTGATTTGATTCAACGATTCAAAGGAAATTATTGATCGGGAATTCATTCCATCTCTGAAGAGTGTGTCGGCTGATGGTTTGAAGTGCAAGTTGAATGGGGGTTATTATTTTCAATAAAATAGATTCATTTTGCCAAAATATCAATTCTGCCTTCTTGTTTTTAAATAGTCCTGTCTACTTTGGGAGCGTCCCAGTATTTTGTTGAGACTTAATTAAAAAGCGTCAAAGCTAATACATACATAGCTAGGTAAGTATTTAAAATTTGAATAAAAAACTAAAAAAAAATTGCACTAGCTGCGCTCACTAAAATAAGGAGAGTATTTTAAAAAGGAATGCAAGATTTCTTAAATTTGAAATTGAAATAAAAAACACTCTGTACATTTATATACACTTATCACGAAAGGTACATGTTGTTCTGATAATTAAAATATATGAATATTTAAAAAAGAATTTTACGAATGTCGAATTGTATACAATTTTTATGGCCAAATAAAAAAATAAAATGTTTATAGCCTTTAAAATTTTGTTTTTGTTTTTTTTTTTTTTTTTTTTAATAATGCACAAAGTACCTCGTCTGTGGCGTGAACTTTTCTCAATTCAATATTATCAACTGAATGCCCATTATCGTTATTCTATAAAAAATATATATAGAAAAAATGATAAACTCTTTGTATATATGTTGAAGAATTTTTGTTTGAAAACAAATGAATATAAGTTGTCGAAATAAAACGGAAAGGTAAAATGTAACGCTCACTTTAACTTATTTGTTGTTGCTGTAATAAATTAATTGGATATTTATAGCAAATATAGTACTTATATGGGGTGTTCATTTTTAATACCTACTTTTACAATAATATTTTGGATTGTTTTGTTTTTAATTTTGTATTGCATTTAAAAACTTTGAATTGAATATTGTTCTCAATAAAAAATGTCTTTAACTAAAGAACGTAAGAAATTTAAAGATTCTTATCGGATATGTGAATAGTTCGAAATACATACGGAACAGACATGGGGCATGTGTACGAGAACGCCACCCACGGAATGTGGCTCGGGTTGGGGCACGGCGACCGGCACTGGACCTTTTTAAAGAAACAATTATTCGCTAATTAGTAAATCAATAATTCGATTGCAGTGTAGTTGTGGCTAGAACGGAAATTGTTTAAATGGTCAATAAATTGTCAACATAACTCATGGCATTCACTAATCGAGCATGCATCCGAGTACACAATTCCTATGTTTTTTAAATATTTTTTTTAAATACAGGATACACTGTAAAAATTGCATGCAAGTATTTGGGTTTTATTAGTTTCAATATCAAGGACCTCAGTATGTGTGTACAGTTCCAAAACAAGAAGAGGTTGATTATAAGAAAACTAACTAATTTCGAAAAATAAAATGATGAGAATCGCATAGAAATCCGTATTAACACTTAAGTGAACGTTTCAGGGTTTCTTGTATAGCTGATATTAAAAATATTTAAACTGAACACACATACACACTACTACATAATAAATGATTGATTCGATTAGGAAACTTTGAAATAAAATTTTAAAGGTTGCGCTAGTATTCGGGTGTTCTTTCTGTTTGATGTTTGTGTGAGAGTATTACCGAACCGAAAGAAAACTGAACTAATTTGAGCAGTTGGTCAACTATAAAAGCGCTAGTGCTAAATTAGTATTTCTAAAACAGCTAAAGTGTTACTCAATTGTGCTAGGACGTGTGAGAGACATTGAGAGCGTGAAAGAGTTGTGTGGAAGTTTGGAAGTGTTGTGGTCTGTTCTGTTCTTAAGTAGGTGCAACTTAGTTTCATTTTGTTCAGTGTAGACTGAGAGTGTTTTGGTGAGTATAGGGGATTAAAGTTTAGATAATTGTTTGATTTGTAACGTAATGTTCAACTGATTAACAATGTTAATAGTGTAATGCAATTTGTAAGATTTTTAAATGTTTATGGTTTTGTAACGAATGAAAAATTTGCTTGTTGGTGCATCACCTGCCATTATAATAATTTTTCCATCGTCTGAAAAGAATTGATCTAGCTTAAAGATATCTGATAATGATTGATAGATTTAAATTTTAAGTTTTAGTATTCGATGAGTTGACGTATTTTGTTTGTATATTAGAACATATATTATTCAAAATTGACAAGTATATGTAGAGTATAGAGTAGGACGACATATTTGACAGAGCGATAGTTTGTGACAGAGATAGATAGATAGATAGATAGACAAATAAGTAGAAAGTTTATACGCGCGAAAAAGTGCGTGTGCGAGCGAGAGAGCGAGCGAGCGATCATTTTTGTATATAAGTAGTTTATACAGTAGACGCGCAATATTTGTTAGAGACAGAGAGAGAGAGAAAGATATACATATATGTAGAGAGAGACAGCAAGATAGACATTTAAATTAAATATATGTATGTGTACACAAGAGTAATAGGTAGAGAAACTGTTTCAACCAAATAGGAATGTTAATTTAAAAAAATCTTTAAAAAAATGCTTTTAATGAATGGGCTTTAGAGTTTTTTGTTTTTTTTTTTTTATGTCGGTCTGTGGAGTTAATTTTCATGAAGGATGTTTCTTGAGTTAATTTGGAACGTTCCAATGTTTAACGTTAGTCTGGAGCTTTGTTTACTATGATACGTTAATTTAGTTGGCTTTTTATATTATGTTCAAATAGATTACAGAGCATAGCAGTGCGGTTTACTAGAAGTAAACGTGGGATTTAGACTATATATAGTATATATTTTAAGGACGCTTCAAACGTCATGCCATTACCCGCACATGGTTGGGGCAATAGGACTAACTATGTATAGTAGTATATCGGTTTATATACAGTCTAATTTAGCTACAATTTGGGTGTCTTTGACTGTTTTTACTTTTACTGCAATTTGTTGTTACAATTTATAGAGGTTTATTGGGGTGGGTTCGTTCAAAACTTGGACGATTTTGCAATAGTTATAGTATATTACAACCGAGTTTGGGTAGAATGCGTAGGAAAAAATCAAAGGGGTTGAATATTTAAAGGCCTTACCTGCAAAACCGCCGAGTGGACCGAGTGGTATGGGAAGTGGTGCCATAGATAGCGAAACATCGCGCTCTCGGGTTTTTTCCTTATCCGATTCGGGTGGTGATTTACGTGAGGACTTTTCTTCCTCAATGATGTCCTCAATAGGTACCTAACAAGGAGAAGCATGAGCGAGGGACTTACAAGGCGGTTATCGATCGATCGATCAACTTACATCGGGCGGTCGAACGGGGTTCAGGGGTGCCATAAACTGTACCAATTTGGTGGAAAGCTGATGCCACATAATCGAGGCCTCACAGTAAGCACATTCAGCAACCTGAAAACGGTTCGCAACAAAGCAACATACTCGTATAGCTACTATATGTGCCCAAGTTAAGGAGAGCTTACCTTCAGCGAACACACATGACTGCTTAGACCCACCCGAGCTGCTGTTACCATACACTTAATCAGCCTCGACACATTCTCGCAGACACTTGTGTGTATGCCCATGTGCTGTTCCACATCCTGAAGCTCCATTTGCTTCAGCAGGATGTCCAACATGAGTATGCAGCAGGTGAGATTGTGCTCGGCATCGGTTGAGAATTCAGTGTGTCGGTTAGTGGGGCCCTCATCATCAGATATTGCCGAAGTGTTGCCAGAGTCGTCTTCCACAACGGGCGCTGAAAGGAGATTACCAAGGGGATTACCTCAAAGAAAACCCCCCTTTTCGGAAACTTACAAATCGAACTGCGTCTGGGTGGATTCGCCATATCAGCCTTTGCTTCTTTGCATGGCGTTTTGGGAGCTTTGGCTGTTGGACACGGTGGCTCCTTCTCCTTCTCACGCATGAGCTCGTGTTGTATGCCATATTTCATGATACGAACTCCATCGCCAAACATGGCAAACAGCTGAACCAGTGGTATCAATATTTCCAGTTTGGTCAGAATCTGTAGCCAATGCAAGGCCTGTTGTTGCACCTTGGCCGTTGTCTTCTCAAACCGTATGGCCACAAAATTGTACATCGTTTTCGCATCGAAGCCCAGGGGCGACATCTCTGGGTCCAATATTTTGCTCAGCACAATTTTTAGCTCATTCAGCTCCTTTTCGGCCACATCGTTGGTTATGGCCTCCATCCAGTGCGGCATAACGTAGTCCCATATTTCTGACGTTATAACCTCATAGGGCACCAGACAAATAAGACGTTGGAGACCCTCTTTTAGGTGACTGGTGCGTGAGGCCAAAGTCTCCCAATGTCCCCCGACACGTGCATATTCCGGTGGATGCGGCAGCAGACAGGCAATGAAAACGTTGTAATGTATGCGACAGATCTCCTTCAGCCAATTGCAAACATGATCGACTTTTAGCTTCTCAATGGTGCTCTCAATCTGACCGGCAGCTGTGAGTAGGGCGAAGAAAATATGATTTTAATGTTATCTATCCTGTACTGCGCTTGGGCTTACCATCATAGGAATAGGCGGTGACATGAAACCAATGGAAGAGCATGCTCAGAATTCGTCCCAATACCTCGACCGGCGTATCAGCCGTGGGTGTGCATCGTCCGACCAGCAACCAGATGCCATAGCGACCCAACATTTGGCGTTCCTCGAGCGAAATATTATCTGCAGTGCCGGTGCCGCCATTCTTCTTTGCGTCGCTGGAGTCCTTGCCCGGTTCGAAATTCAGGGGCTTGGCCTCACGCAACAAACTGACCACACACTCGACCATATGCATCTGCATCTCGGGATCCATTTGCCAGGCTGGCTGCAGACTGCGATGAACGACATGATCGCCGCCACGTCGGGAGTTATGGCGATTGCTGTGACACTGGGCACAGTATCGGATGGGATGATTGCCATTGTAGCTGGCGCATTCGGTGGAGAAGCAAATGGAGAAGGCGGACTTTTCGTTTGAGCGACAATTCTTGTTCTCGCACACCATAGAGACCTGCTGCATGGGATGCAGTATGTCGCCAAACTCCAAATTGGCGTGCTCGCGATGAATCTCATTCGCGCACTCGATGCACAGATAGAGTGGGGGCGGACAGTCTGGGGCGTAGGTGATGCTAATGCTGTGATCATAGCAGACTTTGGCGGCCTCCGCATTGCCAGCGTTCGGACAATGCTCCCGTTGGCAGGTGAAGGGCACCAAGTCGTCTAATGGAATGAGTTAATAAGACAACCATCTGGATTTTGCAATATGACAAAACTTACTCGTGAGTTTTGAAAGCAAGACCTTGCGATCAAAGAGATTGGCATCAAAGGCAGGCCAGTAGTAGAACAGCAGTTTGGCCGCAGAGGTGCGAGAGACAGCAGTGCCATAAGCGACAACGCAAAGAATGTCCTTCACCACATTGTGCTTCAGAGTCATCAGACATTCGAGCAGTTGACAATGATGGGCTGTACGCATACAAATAATATTAAATATATGTGGGTAGAACTAATCTATAGTATGGAATTCCCACCTGGATTATTAGAGTACTGCAACACCATCATGATGACCGAAGAGACCGACTGACAAGCCTGGCATTCCTGCTCGTCAGAGCCAGCAGTGCGGCGGGCTAAATGAAAAAAAGTTGAACCATAATTGTTGTGTTTGGAACCCTCCCTAAGAAATAAATATTTGAAATACGGGACAGCAAATAAGGATTATTTTGTTTGTTTTTTTTAAACGAAAAAATCATTCACTTATAGGAATTTTGATAGGATTTTTTATTTTTATTCATTCGCTCACAATTTAATGATTAATTTTGAGTTTTACTTTAAAGATGAGTCAATAATCACTATTGATGAGCAAAAAAAAACTTATAAAATAATAATTAGTTTTATTTTTGATAAAAAAAAATAAAACTCAAAGTATAACATAACAACACTTATAATGATTACAGTACCTGAAATACTTGAAATACTTTTTTCTAAGGGTAATATTTGAATAATCTGAAAGCTGTCTTGTACTTACTGATGGTGAATGGCAAGATATAGTAACAGAGTGCATTTACAATATCCTGATGTAATGCTGGTGGTAGTACAGAGATAGTAGAGCTTACTAGATAGGGTAAATTATCGATTAGATCCTTATCAAGGAAGGGTAGAATGCAGCTTAGACATTGGAGTAGAGCTTTGCCGAAAACTGTAAACAGAATTAAAGGAGGTGAGAGGAAAATTGTATCTCATTAAAATGATATATTACCGATTTGTCCATACTGGATGCAAGGTGCCACATCGATGAGCATAGTTAAAGCATTATAGAGATTGCCATATTCGAGATTGGGATAGGCAGACATGCGTGTGGGATCTTCTAGAGGATCGCGTATAAGATCGTGTGGCGAAGTGCGCACATCTTTAAGGACAGCTATAATGGGTATATTATAAGTACCTATAATAAAGTCTAGCTCCGATTGAACTTACTTAGTAGAGTTTGAGAAAAGTATTTAATATTGTTAGCAATATCAACACCAGATGGTGCAGGCAAGACATTGTGCAATAGACGTACATGGTATTCATGAAGGGCTCTCAATTTTGCCTGAACTGTGAGACAGAGAGCGAAATAAATTGGTAGATAAATTCCATAACTCTTGCTGAGACTTCTGTGGCATACTTACAGGCGGCAGCGCGAGTGCCCATGTTGATGAGTTGCACCTTAAAGCTGCCAGTCATTATATCAGACAAATCCTTCGCATTGCCGAAACTGCTGCCGAGGGACTTCGCATTCTGTAAATCAAACAACATTTATTAAATGTTAACAGTTTCATACAAATTATGGAATTTTCAACCGTTTTTCATGCCAGACACCCACGATTATGTAACCAGTGAGATGCTGTCAGAGAAAAATGCTGAAATTCCTTTTAAATTTCATTTGTAAATGCAAAATTCCATTAGCCACATCAAATCGACACCCAAAGCTCAAAGTTTTTCGTTAACTTACCTCGAAATTTGTTAGTTTTTTCAATAAATTTGCAATTTTTTACGGGTTTTACAGCGCACCGTGACCACGAAGAAAAATCTCTACAACTAAACTGTGCGTTGTATGTGAAAAAACTTCACACAATCGTACTTGGCTTGTGTGTATCTGGTGTTTAAGCGTTTTTCGTTTGCTATCTGTTGGATGCAAGGCGCCGTCGCAAAATTATTTCAAGTGCCTGAAATAATATCAATAGGAAAGCCATTAGAGACAATTTGATAATTGTTGTATTAAGAGTATTTTGTAAATATTATTAAGCTAGGATAATCTTCATTTAAAATCACCTTTTCAGTCGTAGAATTTAGTTTTTGTTGACTACATCCCGGGATGTGGGTGTTGACCCACTTTCTGGCACTCTGCTGATATCGGCTCACCCCAAATGCGACCAACAGCTGCCTTCTATCTGGGACATGCGCATATCGCGTGTTTACTTCCCATTTTCGCAGTGGCCGGCTTTTCATTTTTCCGCCGTCTTGGGCGTCACAACAAGTGTTTGTTTTGGCTTGGTCCGGTCCAAGTGTAAATATTTACTAGGGTTATCAGACGTGTCGAGTGCCGATTGTTGAGTCTGCGCAGTCCCTACCTTTCTGTTTGTAAATACTCTGAAGCTGTTCTGGTGAGTAGAAATGCAACAAGTTCGTGCTTTGGAGAGTTTTCACATGTGGTTGGGGTTTTTGTTTTGTTCCTATATACCGTAGCGGGGACTACAAATGAAGGACTGAGTGTCCTAGATGGTGAGTAATATGGTTAGTCCTTTTTTAACCGACTTTAAAAAAGCAGGAGGTTATCAATTCGTCCTTATTTATTATTTATTGGATTATTTAAAGCAAATTAAATGCAAAAACAAAAAAGTGTAATATTTACAAAATAAATTTTCAATTTAATACATTGTTAACCAAGAATACTTTTAAATAATAAAGGAAAATTATTATATATTAATAAACATTTATTTAATTAAATTATTGATGCTGTAAATGAGAAAACTGAAGCTCGCCTACAAATTCGAAATGTTTCAATTATTTAAATTGTATTCAATTTTTAATAAAATATTGATACTTCAGTCGAGCTATTCCCAGTTTCCAAACTAACTTCCGGCTCTGATTTGCATACGCCCCTGGCAGAAGCAATAAAATTACTAATAACTTATTTTAGAATTGACCGATTTGGATATCAGGCCGCAAATTATTATTTTGTAAACACTAATAATTATTTGAATTTTGCTTTTATTGTACAAATAGTATTTATTCTCTCGCACTCTGCGCTGGACTTAGTTTCTTTGAACAAAAACTAATTGAAAAGAAACTTACAACATGCTTTATACAATCTTGTATAAGGGAGGCGACTCCCCAACTTTACTGATTTATTTATTTTTTTTCAAAAACCAACAAAGTTCTTTATTAAAGCTTTACAATTAAATGTACACTTCCATTTAAATAGAAGTTTATTTGCTTGCGCAGGTTTCAGCAATTTTAAGGTTTCGCACATGTGAATAATTTCATAAAATTTTGTAGGGTTGCCAACACTTTGTCTGGCTTATGTGGTGCCCTTTGACCTCCGCCACAAAAGAGCCAAACTTGTTTTACCAAAACTATAGGGGGGGATGGAAATACAAACCAAGTCAGACATTTTAACAACTGATTTAACTGAACTGTGTGAACTGGCCAGCTCGTTTTACTAATCCAGTTAAGGGGTAGAAGAAGATAAGTTGCTTTTGCCACTAAAGTATAAATTTTTGTGGAAATATATAAATGGATAATAAATATTGCATTTAGATGTATATTTTTATTCATATACATAACTATTAAAGCGGAAATGTTTGTGAGCGTATTCAGAAAATACCTTGAATCCTATAAATTATGCTCATTATTAACAAAAAAAAGCATTTGTGTTGTACAGTGTTATGCCCATAACATCACGAAAACTGTGTTTGTGTGTGTGTGTCCAGTGTGGATGTGTATGCAGAATTAAAATCTTTGCCTAGTTGTTGCGCTCTGCCATCTGATCGGATAGTTCAACATCATCAGACAAGGCTAGCATTTGCACCTCTTCTATAACCTCAGGTATTGGATTGTGCTCCTCGGTGCGCTTGGGGATTGCAACTTGCGAAGCCGATCCGGCTTCTGAAATATGGTGAGCGGTCTTAAGTTCCTGCTCGTCCTCCAACTCGTCGGCCTCGTTTTGTTCCTGGACAGCAGCATTTTGATTTTTGTTAGCTGCCTGATGACGTTTGAAGATGTTTCGCCAATAATTTGAAAGTGAAGACTTTAATGTGGGCTTTGAGTTGGGCAAGGGTTTGCCATCAGCATCGACACCAAAACTGCTGCTAGTCGAGGGCTCATCGGCATCTGTAGGTAAAAAAAAATGATAAGAGAAAATGTCTTATCAGATGCTATTATTAAATGTTCCACCCGGCAAATAAATTGCACAAAAACAAAGTCGATAATGTCGATATATTAATCGATTTTTTGCTGGTGCATCTACATATGTCCAAAGAATTTGCCTGTTTGACCAAAATCGAGAATTAACGCAAGTTAAATGTAACTACTGAAACGTATAAATAAAATTCTTGGACAGAAAAAAAGTAACAAGAGCTGTCATTCAAGAGGTGTACGAATTGTCACATAAAAAGAGTAGGCGTTGGGAATTTAAAATTGTGTAAAAATTTCACAAAAAAGTATAAAACGACTGCAATTAGATCCAGAAAAGTATTATAAAAAAAGAATTCGCGAGAAAAAAAATGTTCTGACATTCATGGCATAATATTTTGTAAATGCTAATCTCTTAGTCTACTGAATGCTTACCCTGTTTGCTCGAGCCCTTTAGACGAGTCAGAAAACGACTAATGGTAGTGCTCTTCTTCACATCTATCTCGCTATCGGCTATATCCTCGACAGAATTCTCTGTATTGTCCGCCCCATCAGGATTGCCAGTTGGCTTCTTGCCTAATTTTAATAGACGCTTCAGAGTATTTGATTTGGGCTTTGCCGAATCAGTGCCCGCAGATGGCACGCTCTCCTGCTCGGCGAGCGGAACATCTTGCATGTTAGACATTATTCAATGTCCCAACAAAAATGAAAATTACTTTTATTTGTTTGCTCTCTGTAAATGTTCGTACTGCTTGTGATGTAGGAAATATAAATGTGACTGACTGGACGAAAGGGCCGGGATTTTGACACGTCTATGATTTGTAAGGCAGCGCCAACTACGATTTGTTGTTTCTACTATTCTTTGCAATGGATATTGATATATTGATGTACACACAATACGTATTTATAGGGTTGTCTGCCATTTGCAGCGACAATCATTTGAAAATTTATATGTCTGCTTTTCAAGCCGTAACATGTGTTAACAACGACATCGAAACAGGTTTCAATTGATTCGATTTTAATTTTTTCATGTACATAGTATGCATGTATGTGGTATTTTCTGGACAGGACACAATGTTGACCAATTCATTCAACACACAATACCCATTGCAGTTGTTGTTGTTGTTACTGCAACTGCTTCTGCTGCTGCTGCCTGTCGTTATTCGATTTCCCATTGTTCGATTCAATTGGCTGGACATCGTTGCCAACAGCGCCAGCCCCCGTTTTCAGTCGTATTTTTTGCTCGATTTTCTTTTCTTTTTTTCCTTCTTTTTTGTGACCATTGGCCACCAACAAAGCCGTTTTGTTGGCTTTTCGAAATCAGTTGAAGAAGTGGCGATTCCTGCTGTCGACACTGCTCTGCATTCCTACTTCTTTTTCATGTAGGCACATTTATTTATGTAGTAATATTGAATGTCCAGAACAATGGACAATTGGTGTGTGCGAGTTCTTTTTATGGAAGGAAGAGGCATTTATCAATATTTTCGTTAAAGGGTGTTGAAGCGCTAAACGATGCAAAACGATACAAAAACAATTAATTGTAGTGATGAAAATGTTATATTTTAAGCTTTCACGTAACTTGATTTTGGTCTTGTGTTAATGGGCAGATTTAAATATTTTCAAAAATATTTGCTATGGCAAGTGATTGTTATACTCTGTACATGAAATGTACAAGAGTATATTAGGTTTGCGGGAGCTGAAAAATGTAACAGGCAGAAGGAGGCGTGGCAGACCCCACAAAGTATATATATTCTTGATCAGCATGACGAGACGAGTCGATCTAGCCCTGTCTGTCTGTCTGTCCGTCTGTCCGTCCGTATGAACACCTGGATCTCAGAGACTATAAGAGATAGAGACACCAAATTTTGCACGAAGATGCGTTATGTGTGTATTCTATACGAGTTTGTTTTATTTTTTTGATTTTCCCCCCCACTTCCCCCCTATGGGGGTTTTCCCGATTTTCCATTCGTATAATCGCCTATATCTCGGAGACTATAAGACCTAGGAACACCAAATTTTAGTCCCAGATGCCTTATGTGAATACGCAGAAAATGTATATTTTGGAATTCCCCTCCCTCCCCCCTCTACCCCGCAAATCGTAACTCCCGTAATTCTTGGAATTTCGAACTAAAACTTTGGAAATACCCCCAGTTAGTTATTATGTGTCCGTATGCCAAATTTCATTATGATAGACCGATTTAACAAGAAGTTATAGCCATAAATATATTTGCTGATGCAGCGCTGCTGCAGCGCTGCTCAAGCGCTGCCCGCGGCTGTTGTTGATGTTGCTGTTTGGTTGACTGCGAAAATGCTTACACAGACACGAATTGATGCGCATATGCATACATACACTCACACAGACGCAATTGCTATGTAAATGTGCAATTATACACCCTTTACGTGAGTTCGAATACCGAGAGAGGTAAAATCGATCAAATTTTTTTTTTTTATTTTCTTAATTTTTTTTATTTTCTATAATTATTGTAAACATATGTACAGAGTATTTCAAAGTCGGGACACCCGACTTTAGCTTTTTTACTTGTTTTCGATGTGAACTAGATGATTTTTCATCGATTTTTCGATATAAATCGATCCTTTTTTTAAACTCTCAGCAGGAAACCCCGCCAAGAAGCTCAAAAGTTATAAAAAAATTGCTAAAACCCATAAAATAATAAACTTTACACCAACACAACGGCTAAGTAAGTTGTAGTTTTCATTTAAATATAACGCCATTACATACCATCGAGAAATGGTGGATTTGTGTAGATTGTCTAATAATTAGTTTAACTTAAGTAACTAAATAGCAACCAAATTAATGGATTTCTTACAAACTTCTTACAAACAAATTTAAATGTATAAATTTTTTAAAAATAATATTATATTCATTGTAATATAGAAAAAACTTCAAGAATATTTTAAAAGTTGTAAAGTTTTCTAAAAATTCGATGCATTGTGGACACATCGGAACATCGATCGACATCGGAAATTTTTGATTCCAATTCATAAAATCGATGTTAGTTTTGGACTTGCATCACCAACTTGGGATTAATATTAAACTAGTTTGTAAAAGTTTTGCTAGATTCGATGAGTTTATGCTAAGTTTTGGGGTACTTTTCAGTAGGCATCTTGATTTGCTATGATATGCAATTTTGTGAAGTTTAGGAAAGCAATTGTTTTAGGATAGCGGTGTGTGTGTAATTTTCTCTAGAATTTAAATATAAAAAATATATAAAAACAATTGTCAAAAAAACGTCAAACTTTTTAATAAAAAAAAATATAATATAGTTGTAAATTTAAATTGATTAAAGTCCTTACATAACGATTAAACCATATAAGATCCATTGCACTTTAAACGAAACATTTGTAAATATTTTTTCGACCACCCACATACATGTATGTATGTAAGTCCTCCGCGAATCACTTAAGCCTCAAATACATGAGGAATCATCCACAAAGAAACAGTCATAAATCATTAGCAATAAAAAGGATAATGCAAATGATTGCCAGAGAACATCTGCTCGACAAAGCGCACCCACACACCCACTAAAAATAAACGACAACAAAGTGTGAAAATGTCGACGGCCATGAGTTGGAGAAAGGGAGGCAGAGAAGAAGACAAAACGGATATGTTGAAAGCCAGGCAGCAAATTCATTGCCAGTAATACAAGCAGTAGCAGCAGCAGCAGCAACAACAACAACAGCAGCAGCAGCAGCAATAACAATAACAGTAACAACAATAACAGTCAAAGCCACAACAAAGGGTGCGCGTATAAGCGCAGCAGAAGTGAAAACAATAGCTGCGGAAGCTGCAACTGCAGACCGCAAAATGTGTTGCCTGCTTTTTGTTGAATGCTGCCTGCCCGCCGGCGGCCATGCAACTCATAATCAAGTTGGTTGTTCAGTTGGCTGTTGGCTCTGGGTAACAGACAAAGCTCACAGCAGACAGGCAGACGGACTGAGAGACAACGGCAAACAGGAGCAAGTGCAGCAACAGCAACAACAGCAGCAGCAGCAGCATTCATTCATTGGCAATAACAATCAAATGCTGGTCTTGGCATTTGCATTTCCTCATCTCCCCATGTTGGCGGCCCTGCGTCGAGTTCTTGTTGCACATTTGCGGCAATTGCCATTCAGCTTGTTTGTGGAGCTCAGCAGTTGTTGACTTTAATATTTCGTTTAATTGTAATATTGTACCTTGGGTATGGGGTTCGAAAAATAAATGGGTGGTGCAATCATGTGTGTGGGAAAAGCAAACTGTGAATCGCTTTACAAAAAATATATATACTCATACATATACTATATAGTATACCATTTGATGATAATAATGACCATCAATTTCTCATTTTATTGACAATTATGTATGTATGTATGTACACTCGTACACACATTTTGGCACTACTGCGCTGCCGCGGATTTAACGCTTGCTAGACATTTTTATAGATTTACAATATTTGCTTAGTCTATATGTTTACTCAAACTGATAGACCCTTGCTTGCTCAGCAAGACTGAAAGAAGGGAGAAAAAGACGAGATAAAGAGTTCAATCGCTTTGGTTTATTGGCCTCAACTATGGAAGTGGCCGCACAGCACACAGCTATTTAAAATAAATAGGCATACTCGTACACATAACGTACACATAATAATCATTATCTATCATTTATGTGCACATTGATAATGCTACGATTTTTACGATCTCACACTTTCACTTTATCGAATTTAAAGTGAATTCGATTTAAAAAGGTACACAACACGTAGTTCAATAAAAAAGGGTATTAGATGAGCAATTCGAAGTGCTTGAAAGAAATGAAAATCAACGCATTGAACGGCTAATGTGGTGATGTAGATTAAAGGAAGAGCATAAGATATATTTATAAGATATATAATATTTTAGTGAGTTGTACTTTTTAATTGTTAAAAGCTTAGTGATAGATTGGTATAGTAGATAAATGGATATATAGATAGATAGTTAGTGAAACAAAAACTGTTGAATTGTCTGAATTCACACGTTTTTTTTTTTTTGATATTTGTTAGAAAACTGCTAAAAATTTTACAAATAACCTGATTGCAGAAAAAATAGTCAACTCATCATAAATTCGCTCTCTATCTTTCCTTTACACCAGCTCATTTGTGTTTTCAGCTCATAACTCTTATCTCTAAACTGTACGGCTCTTGTATCTGCTCCTACCAGTCCTTTTCAATACAACCCAAATGAAATATAGCTTTTCATATATGAACATTTCCTTCAGTTTTAAATAAGCATTTACCATAAAAGTCGTGCTCGCAGGTTATCTTTTCTACAATGATCACGGAAATACAGTAATTAAAGTTAAAGAAAACGATGTTAATTTTTAGATTAGGCTTCTGTGAACTGGTTGATAATTGTAAACAATTTCAATTGGAAAATAAAGTTATTATTTAAGTAAATCAAACATACACAAAAACTTATAACATAATCCCAAAATTTGGGTAAAATTAAATCTCAAGAGCTATAAAAATAGTCGTGCAGTGTCGAAACTTGTATACTGATGCCAGCTTATGTTCTTTCTCGCTTACTTTGAACCTTCTATTTGAGATAAAGAAATAATATTTCTGATTAAAATCAGCTAGAAAGATATGCTTACGCTTTTCTCAGATAAACAAATCGTCCGATCACAAATGCAAGAAACATCTGAGCTCAATTATCTTTAAGATTGGCTTAAAGCCGACTACTCTCTGGCCATAACTCACAGCCTGTCACAAAGCTGCTCAATATTGCGAGCTGTAATAAATTTAATTATTG